TCTCTTGTCACAGTCATCTGTCAGTGAGTACATGGTAGACAAGCACATAACGTGCGGGGCGAGTAAACTTCTAAGCGCGACTCGGAGTCAAGGGACTCACGTTTTAGAGTGAAAAGCACCCCGAAGTTGGATTGGAATAGCTTGAATACAAAACCTCTGCTGGTGGTGACACATGCATGAAACCCCAATACAGTAAATTAATTGAATTTAATATTCATTTTCATTCTTGCAACTTTTATGCCATGGTAAGTGATGAACCACATTGGTACTTTTCAAATTATTTGAACGGAGTCAGAATCACTAGAGATTATTTACTTTGTTCAGATCAGTGGCAAGTCCAGGTCTTGTGTCCAGGTGGGGCAAAATGGGTTTTAATTTCCCCAAAGGGTAAAACAACCCCCGCCCCCTTATTCAAAAAAGTGTTGTTTTTTTCATGCTTGCACTCAAAAGGGGCGGGGGTAACGTGTTTATAGAGGCAATCTCCCCGAGGGATACACCACTGGTTTAGATCTTACCAAAAACAACAGATACATTATTGACAAGGTTTCAACATATTGCAATAAAATATTGACCACTGTTCAAAAATTCCCGCGTATGCGTCCTCTTCAAAAATTATTTGAAGCTGGCAGATTTTTCAGTTTTCGTGAAAACATTTCCGATAAAATGGAAATCATGTTAATTAAGAGCAATTAATGATTAATGAAGATATTGCTCAAATTGTCTTTGTCCAAACGGATAATCTACTTTGTTCACGTATAAAATGCAGCCGGCGAACACGGGCTTATAATAAGAAAAACATCCAAACCATATGGCAACTTAGTGGTCGACCAGCTAATCGTAGAAACTTTTAAAATCTAAATATAGTATATGTGTAAAATTAACAAGAGTAATAAGTGAGTGGAGATTTATGACTTGAATAATAATTTACCAAAAAGGGTTCTTTGTTTAATTTCATCAAACGTTCGTTCGAAAAACCAGAAGAGGGAGTCCAGGAACTTGTAGAAAATACGGCCACCCTGTGCGTCTTGGATTCTACATAATGTGTGTTGCTGAATCGCGGGGATGAAACGCCGGCGCCCTTGCATATGCGGCTTCAGTTAATGATAATTACGATTTTTGCGAATTCAATTTGAATAATTACTGTTTGACATAATTCATACAAATTTGTTTCCAATTGTTATTTTATTTTCATTTATTTAGCTCGCTTTTATGCATAGGGTGCTAGGGATAAAGAGCCATTTCACGGAAATAGGACCACAGTTTAGTCCATGGTTTAGTAAATCTCCCTTAGATTAGAAGGCATGGTTGACCTGCGAGCCTTGAAACTAGTTTTCGACATTAAAACTAAAACATTTCGACTTTAAAGCCACAGAAAACATATTCCCCCCAAATAAATGCTCAAGTGTTGGGCAGTTATCAATATTCTCAAAATGAATACTTTTGCCAATTTATTTCTACTTAATTTATGTGCTCAAGCAACAATCGCCAAAAGAGGGCGCACTCAAATCAAGCATTAAAATTCATGTTTTGTGAAAACGAAGTGCACGATGGCTGTTGTGTTCGAAGGAATTAGCCTCCGATCTTTGTCGGATCATGGCGATATTCTACAAAGAACCGAAGCAGTTCTGAGGCTGGAGGTAGTAACGGAAAACGAGGAGCCCCTGGTCTCGATTTACAATGGTAATTGAGCTTGTTGTGCATTTGATTTGTTGCGGGCCATGATCTACGTTGGTGTGAAGTCAAGTAGGCCTACATGTACGTCAAGACAATGTACATGTACATGATGATGTATTGTGGACTTAGCGCGCGTCATCATACCCATACTTGTGTGTTGACATGAAGGCCTAATCTCGCGGTTTATCTAAACTTTGAGATAGTTTGGTGAACTAAAAGAGAGTTTCACTACTTCAGATTAGATAAAAGGCGACACGTTGATGACAGATTGTGGAAAGATCAAGTGGTTGCCTGATTCACACCCAACATGCTTAACATGAATTCATCCTGCCATAACTTAAGTAGGCATGATAACCCTTACTTAGGCCTAACGGTAGTACCACATGGGTGATGTTTCACAGTGGTAGAAAGGCATTGTGGGAAGGAAAGGAACCAAACATTGCCCCTTTTTCCTGCCCACAGTGCCATTCTATCGGGCAAAAGTACCGATGCAGTATAGTGATAAAGCCAAGTTAGCAAACTACATACCATGCAACACTTTTTTATTCACACTTTAGGCCGATGAAAGTTGATCTCATGGTTCTTGTCACTGCCTGCATGGAAATTTTGGCCCGCATCAAAAAAGTTTATCGTTCATCGTTTCCCAAAAATCCGCTTCTGATTTCACGATTCTCCCCACTACGTCAGCACCCACTTGCAAATTTTGGCCCACATCAAAAACTTTTACCATTTTCAAGATAGTCAGTCTAAAAACCGAATGCTAGCGCTGTTGTATTGAATTGACGTCTTCGCCAGTACATCAGATGTGCTTGTTTTGGAAGTGCATGTACATGAACAATACATGTATGGTCACAGTTAATTTTTTGTGTCTCCGTATGTACATGTATAGAATGAAATATTAAATTGAGGGAGTAGAGGCATTTTTTTGGAAAAGCCAGTGAGGTTATGTGGGCGGAGTTTAATTATTCATGATTCATGATGTAAAGTATCATGTTGATGTACAGTTTTGTGTGTACACATGTACATGTAAGTGTGGTACGGTAGTACGCGTACAGTCGAGTCACCGACAGGTATGGGGAGGAGCCAATTTTGACTGACAATCTGGGCACTGTTGCCGGAATGGGCGAAAGCAAATGTTGCATATGATGGCGCTTGGTGCGTGGTGGGAAACTGGCATGATGAATGTGCCTGAGGTCATATGCATTGTTTAGCAGTAGTTGAAAGCCACACTGTTCAAATACCATATTCGGTCTTACTTTGGATCATCCAATCGAGTGGTACCGCAAGTTTTCCAAAACCTCAGTGATTCTCTCTTTCAACTCATGCATGAAAAGAAGGGATTTCTTTTTTTTTAAATAAATTGCAGTTTTGAAATTCTTTTCTCTCTGCAATTCAAATCTTTTTTCAGTCAAAAGCCTTTGAAATGAGTTCAACCCTTATGCATGGTGTGAGTCCGATGAATTTTTAGGAAACTTCGTCAAATTTGTGGAGAAAATTGTTGGTGAAAGATGATGAAAAACCCTCAACACTTTTCCACAAGTGGCTGATGAGAACATTGAAATCAACTTTCATTGGCCTTACCTGACGTAGGTAGCAGAAATTTGTTCAAGTGTTCCGTATATCTGGAATACGTACATGCGTGGCTTAGACTGACATCCTTGGATGACACATTCCTTGCAACTACAATGTATGTCATTGTTCCAATATATGTGGTATAAACTTCTTTTGTGAGACTTAAAACTTAGGCTGGCTCCCTGCCGTATCAAAGACCGCTCAAAATATCATCCGGTCTTATTGGTCTGGAAACCAGACAATCAGTTTCTACGCAACTTGTACTTGCACGCATGCAATGTGTAAGAATTCTTCAAAGAAGATGTTCATTTGGGATATTTATGACAGGAACATGGTGCTGTGATTTGTTTACAAACATATCACCAGAGGACATATTTGCTTATTTTAAGCCAAGCATGTAAGTAATTCTAGACGTAAGAGGTACATGTACATGTATGTGAACAAAATTCCAGCCTCTTCCATCAGGTAAGGTGTGAAAAAAGGGTTGTAAAATGTTGGCTGGGACAGGCTGATTTTCATACCCTGGGTGTAAATTGCAATATAATGAAGAGGTTATGAATCCAATCTGGGCCAAATTTAGGCCTAGATGGACAATTTTCTTTACTTTTTTTTACCTTAAGACTTTTCTTCAGACAGAGTACTAGGGTTTGAGCTTGTTACTTTGTGCACTGGTCTGGCATCATGAACTGCCTGTTTTCATCTTCATTTAGGACTCTTAATTCTAAGGTCCAGATTTTGGAGCCCGAAAAGAAATTCCTGTGGACTTCCCATTCAAAAATTGATATTGCGTTATCATGGTCTAAAGCATCAGGCTGCATGAAGAGAACACATACTCCCCCCCCTCGATGACCTCAATGTGTGATTCTACATTTAGTTTCGTTCCTATTTCTGTCATTTTGCCCCCCCCAGGTGCAAACTCCCAGCAGATGCTACGGTTCTCCCTGAGCAGTGAGGAGGTAGTTTGCTGTCAGGCTAGCAAACATACCTACCTGGTCAACATTCAGGGTCGCTCCGTGCTGCTTCACTTTGCATCAGACTTTGGTAAGAGCGACGTCATCTCTCAAGGCTGGGGAACGTTGGATGAGGGAGGGGGGAGAAATGTGGGCGTACCCTTCACGTTCTGTGGGCAAACTCAAACACATGTGGGAATGTGGTTGTTACGCCCCAACTATAGCATCAGTCCCAACAATAGTTGGGCCCGTCCCAACTGAAGTGCTACAGTTGGGCCCGGCCCAACTACAGCAGAGAGGTCCTGTGTGCATGATGCGCCCAGCATGTGCCAAAGTCATATTGTTTACAAATGTCATGCCATTGGTCATAGGGCTAGATGAACAGAGAAAGTGCCACATTTTAGATGAATTGTGTCAAGTGTGAGACACATTGACTTGGATAATGTTGAGACATTTCCCACAGACATTGGTCAACAATAGTTAGGCCAGCCCAACTGCAGCACTACAGTTGGGACTGTCCCAACTCTAGTTGGGACTTATGCTATAGTTGGGGCGTAACATAGTTATTTGACCCTTTAATCAAGGCTGTGTGGCTTATTGTTCGAGTGCTTTAAATGAATAGGTATCCGAGTACCCAGGAACACAGCTTGACACCGTGTTGAAGAGATATACAAGTAGTAGTTATGGACTTCAAGTCCAAGTCCTTGTCTACAGCATTTACCCTTGTCACATCTCCACCTGTCACATGAGGGTGCCGTGCACTTTTCCCAACATGGCTGAATAAATGTAGTGACATGAAGTAGAGCTGTGCGTGTGCCCGTTCTTCAGGCCAACAACCCTCTCATTTACATGTACAGAATCTCTCAACTTCACAGCTTGCCCCGTAGCTTAAAATATGATTCATCACTGGCTTTGAAAGGTTGAATATTTGCATACATTTTTCAATAAAAGCATGCATCTGTCTCTAAGACAATGGTAAATTCCTTACTCAAATCCAGGAGAATTCTAAATTGCTGCCTAACCAGAAAAGGTTCAAAGGCCAAACATGTACTTCATTTGTTCAGCCAGTTCCACGTTGTCAGGCTCAACTCTTGTTGTTTCCTTTTAACATGTAAAGTGATCAGATTTTTTTGACTTGCCAGTACAATGTACGCCTACCTCATTCACACGTTTGCCCCCTCCCCCCACAGAATTGTCCAGATTTCACAATGTCGTCAAGGGTGCCAAACACAATAGCAGTAAGACTACAAAAAAATCAGTCTTTAAGGAGCGGACGGACGAGGCGTCATCATCGCAGTACTTTCAAGTGAGTTGACTGGACAACACCTTCCATTCTTGAACATACATACACGAGGACGCAGTAACATTCCTTTTATGAAAGGGGCTATTACACTTTTTAATCAAGCGTGGTCAGTTTTAGCCCTAAAGAGAGTCTCTTTTTTCGGACCGTCTTTTGAAGTTTGGGAGGGGGGAGCCTCCTAAAGATCTCAGCTGCGCCACGCCTGATCCTTTTTTTTGAAACTTGGCGCACATGTAAAGACAGTCATTGGGAGTACAGGTGCATCTCTGAAGTTTGAATTCAGTGTTTTGTTTGTAGAGTCACTTATAGTTGACAGCTTTGTGCGTGTTGACCCATTTGTATGGAGAACATCAGTGGGAAAGTTGTCACTTTAGATGGGTCATCTTGGAAAACTGGGCATTTTGCAAGACTGGTGTGCCCAGTTGTCATAAGATTGGTACTGAAATGATCGTTTGACAGTACCGCAAAATTCCCAAAATTTTGCACCAAAACACCCTGTAAGAATGGCAGAGAAACTGCATCCCTCCCACAGTTTTAGCATCAAATGTTTTCCTCATAATCCACAATGACCCTTAAGTGACCGGGCATCAGTCCTCTCCCCGCATAAAGACTGTCTCCAAAGGTTTGTAGCATCAGCTGAGGAGTCGGGTTGCACTTTTATAATGCCACTCACTGGAAATTATGATTGAACAAACCAAACAAAGACTAGGCCCGGAGACAAATATTTTCTCAACTTGGTAACTTCTGTACTTTTTACTGGTAACTCTGTGACTTTGGCCCCCGTAGCGACCTTCGAGAAGGTCAGACATCACTGCTAAGCATTAACGTTACACAAACTTGCCCTCTGTCCTGCAATATTTCTTCTCTGTACTAGCAGTGTTGTTTGTTCCCCCCCCCTTGGCCAGTTTTATGGCTACTTGTCACAGCAACAGAACATGATGCAAGATTACATCAGGACCTCCACCTACCAGAAAGCCATGCTTCAGAACAGCGACGACTTCAGAAATAAGGTGAAGTGTTGCTGCGCATTTTGTTCAGTGCAGTGTAGAAATATAATCAGAGTAAGCATTGAACAGCTGTGATGTGTTCGCTGTTTTCATAGGATTTCATTTTTTTTCCTCCAAACATTTCCTATTGTTTTCTCCATTTTTAGCATTCTGCTTTTATATTCATCATACATTTTTGGGTCAACAGGGAAGTTTGTTCGAGTTTTTCCCTCAGGGTCTAATGTGGTGCCTGAGGTAAAAAAAAAGATACCGTAGTTTGCTCACGTTATCTCCTGACATAGACTCAGTGAGCTGCCTTTCTGTTCAGCATTTAGTGATCTGGTTGGTATAGTCCACAGTAGTATGCGATACAAGGCTCGAAAAGCTTTGTAGAGGTTCAAAGAATTCTTTGGACAATAATGCTGTTGTTTGTACAGAGAACGACTCTCCAGTGCCCAAAATGGAGCACAGGGCGGCGGGATAGTGCACAGAGTTAATATAAACCCCAGGGGTAGTTTTCAATCAAGGGACAATGTTGGGCAAGAGGCCTTTGGAAATTAGGGGTGGGGGCATTAAGCCCCCTGTCTGAAAGATCGTTCAGTACTTGGTGGTTCATTGACTGAGTTTCCTTATTTAAAACAAGAAATCAAAATGATTTCCGCAATCCACAGATCGTTCTGGACATGGGCGCAGGGTCGGCCATCCTTTCCTTCTTTGCCATCCAAGCTGGTGCCAAGAAAGTCTATGCCATCGAAGCTAGCACCATAGCCGAACATGCACAGGTCAGAATGAACACAGCCATTTCAAAAGTATGACGCAGACCCCTAATGCAGTTGGTAGCCCCATATTGTTTTTGCATTCCTCGTTTTTTTTTTCTGTTTAGCTTTTGGCAGGCCATTCAACTTGTACTTCCTGCTTTGTTCATGATTTTGGAGGAAGGGCCCTGAGATTTTAAATACTCGGAGGTTTCCTCGTTGAAAAATTACCTGCTGGTGTTTTTAATCTGTACCAGACAGTGTAGCTCAATGAACGAACTGTGATTTCCTTTAGTGGTGATGGGCTTACCACAGCTGGAACATTGCCATATTGACAGCTTGTACCAATTGTTCATGAAGTCGTATGTTGCAGTTGTCAGCATGTTCAGAATTTTTAAATAGCTGTCTGTGACACTGCTGTGGTATTACTACCGTCAAACAGTAGCATCTACCACAAGAATATCTGTTTTTATTTGAATAAATTCAGCCCTGAACAGAACTATTTGGAATTTTTTATGAGTTGACTACGTCTGGGAACAACTCTCACAACCATGGAAGTCTCCCAGCTGTCAGTTTCTTGCATCCTCCGAAGAATGATAGAGGGCGCTGTGCTACCCAGTAATGAAGTCTCATGTACGCATTGTTTCGTACGCGCGTGGAACAGAGCACAAAATGTAATTTTTTTGTCTCTCCGGAAATGCACATGCGTCCTCAGACCTTTGCCCTAGCATGCATGACAACGGTTTCCCTCGTCCCCACTACCTGCCCCCCTTTACTGGACAACTATTTCAGGATGCATGATGTCATTAGTGTCGAGCACTCATTGGACAGAGTTTTTCAACAACAAGGTCAACACGTCTGCATGCATGTGATAATGTGTGCACTTGGATGTACATACATTGATTGGGGCATCCAGTAAACCCACAATCAGACAATGCCTTGCGCTTCTGTAGCGGTGACGTACCTCCGTCACGAAAATTCTGTGAAGGGCGTTTGCTCATCGCACTGCCCTGTAAGGGCATTGTGGGGACGAGCAAAGGTAACAGTAGTGCTCAGGCATCCTCCCAATGTCTCACTGTGTCGCTAGTGAGGGAGCTCTTGCGCACATACCCCATACTCACACATTTCGGACATTTTTACTTTGGTGGGCCCCGTTGTCTCCCTCCTAGAAATTGGTGGAGGCTAACAACCTGGCCGACCGCATCAAGATTCTTGCCGGCAAGATCGAGGAGGTGCAAGTGCCTGAGCAGGTTGACATCATCATCTCGGAGCCCATGGGCTATATGCTGTTTAACGAGCGCATGCTGGAAAGCTACCTGCACGCCAAGAAATTTCTCAAGCCCGCAGGTACGACGGTGGTTTTTTTATCCTTTCTTTTAAATTTTTAAAAAGTGTGCTCTAAAGCAACGGTAACCGAAAACAGATGTCAAATAGTTTTCGTACACTTAGGAGGATTAGAAAGTTGCACAAAACATGTTTCAAAGTGACCTGCACATCATGAGGTGCACTTGAGCCGTTGGTCAGGAATGTAACGTCCCGTAACTGTGGGATTTCAGGAGGCTTGAACAAAAAAATGATACCAGTGGCAATGTGTACATATGTTAACAAACATTCTGAATGTTTGTAGCATTGAATGACATTGTCCAAGGCTATTTACTGATTTTTTTTATTATCTGAACTCATGCCAATAAGATTTTTGTTTTGCTTGTTTCGTTCAGGCAAGATGTTCCCAACCATTGGTGAGCTACACTGTGCGCCATTCTCGGACGATGCTATTTACATGGAGCAGTTCACCAAAGCAAACTTCTGGTAAGTTGCCTTTTTTTAAAGGATTTTTTTTTATTTTCCCATCCTAGCAGTTACGTTTAGCCTCACAACCTGGATTGCTTCAAAATCATCATCCAGCAATTTTGCTGTAGATGGGACCTCAGGCGTGCCAAAAATGCAGGTTTTCAACTCCTTTCAGCCCGTTGGACCTTGATGTAGGACAGAGCAAAAGCTGTCATTAATACTCCTACATTTTTTGTGTATGCTTTCACCCTCTGCAGTTGGTTTAAGTTTTTAACATTCTGTGAGTTTTAAATGGCTCTGGGCAAATGTGTGAAAAGGAACTTGGGTCAAAAGACTAACTTGGCGACCAGACTTTGAAGCCGGTGCTACAGTGGGAGCTTGCAGGTCCTAGGCTGGCATTCACTACCTCTTCATGGAACTAGATGCTGTGACTTTCAAAAGAGCGTACGCACCTCAAATTTTGGAATGCCCATAGTGCAGTGCAGCTGTAGTAAGACTGTCTCGATGAATGATTAGTTATGCTGTAGTGAATATGCAGGGTGTTCGCTAATGTGGTGAGCCGTCTTACTGTTGAATGGATGCCCATGCACAGAATCTACACGGTGTTCCACAGATTTATGCATAGCCTACTTCTGATTTGCCTCTCCCCCCCCTCCCTCCCCAGGTACCAGCAGTCCTTTCATGGGGTCAACTTGACCAGACTCAGGGAGGAGGCCCTGCAGGAGTACCTCAGGCAGCCCATTGTGGTAAGCCAGCCCCCCCCCCACAAATGTTACCCCAATCGGTGGTTGTATAGCCAACCTTGGTGGTTCTGGTGCAGATTTTGACACATTATGAAATTTGTCAAATTCATCAATGCGGTAAGCCGGCCCCGAAGTGTATACCCCAGTCGGTGGTTTCGGAGTCGCTCCGGCAGTTCTTATGTCTTAATGCAATTTTCCTTATTATTAAAAAGTTGTGCTTGTTTTTGTGCCTAAAGGAATATAGAGTAAGCTAAGTTCACCTTTAATTTTGACTTACTTCTGTCCATCCAGTAGTGAATTTAGTTCCAGTAAACAGGGTGGTTATAATTGACAACGAAGAAGACACTGAAGAAATGTTCAGTTTTGGAGATGGGAGGGAAAACCCCGGATAAATATTCCAGGGAAAAGCCTTGGAATCAGGTTGGGAATGAAAACCCAATCCACAAGCTGACCTAGGTGGGATTCGAACACAGGCCCCAGAGGTGAAAGGCGGGGGAAGGAGCCACTACACCAAGCCGACTCCACATTTCTGAGGGATGTGTGATAGGCTTATTGTTACTCTTTGTCACCACTGACACACCCTTGTGAAGCTTTCAAGGTTCCAAGCATACCTCATAGGTTGACTTGTCAGCCTGCAGGAGAAGTTTGCTGACTTGAGTTTCCACGTTACTGAGGTTCAATAGAGTAGGTTTTGTTCCTGCCAAGACACATGTTCAAAAGAGAATGACTGTAAAGGTTAAACACTCTGCATTCTACATTGTGACACAAAACGAAGATTAAACTACCCCAAATGGTAACGCCTTGTTTAGTCGTCGTAGTATGGCTTCCTATTTTAAAGTGTGCACAGTGTTACACTTTGGCCAGAGGTTTGTGGCAGAAACACCTAGGGAGTAAGGATTAATACGGAGCTGTGTTCTTTCTCCAACAGGACACCTTTGACATCAGGATATGTCTGGCGAGGTCCCAGAAGTACACAGTTGACTTCCTCAAGGCGCACGAGACTGACCTCCACCGGATCGAAATCCCCCTGTGCTTCGTGGCCCACGCTTCGGGGGCGGTCCACGGCCTTGCATTCTGGTTTGATGTGGCCTTCTGTGGGACAATGTAAGATCGTGGTGTTTTGTTTTGTCTCCCCATTTTGTATCCAAAGGCGTTAGACTGATCCAGTTAGCCCCGCCCACTGCTACTGCAGACAGTGAATATGTGCTTCTCTCCAATGCCACAGTGCACATTGTAGCGGCCTGTATCATGGGCGTGTGCATGTTTGTGGGACTTTTGTGCACTCATGTCGGACACGAATCACAGCTATGATTGGCTGACAGACAGTTTGGGTATGGCTTTGTGGATCGGTTCTGTCGGAGATGTAAGTTGACTCCTGACATTTCCTCTGGAAAATGTATAAAATACTGAAATCAGGCTGTTAAGGAGAACTCACATCCTGGCCTTGTTTGATTTGAACATTTGTAAACAGTCTTTCGACTTTCATTTGAGCAGTGTCTGGGGCTGACTAGATTTGCCAATTTGTCACTCCCTGAAATGAGAGGACTGTTTCAATCAGCCCAAAAGCCCCTTTAGTTGTCTTTTAGGAAGACCTCGCATGACTATTCTTCACAGAGGACATGCCACAGTTAAAAATTGTAAAACCTTCATTCGGTTCAAAAGATTTTGTAGGAATCACATTTTGACCTGTGCACGTCTTTGGTCATCGACTTACATTGTGACTTGATTTTTATCAGGCAAACAGTCTGGCTGTCCACGGCGCCAACAGAACCTCTCACACATTGGTATCAGGTAAATATGGAATTGCTTTCGAGCAAAACCTTCTCCGTAGTGGCTTGTCAGACAGCAAAATAAAATCATTTGTTTTATGCAAATCTTGCCATGTGCCACTCTTATTAAGATTTTTTTAAGAAGAATTTTTTGTTAAGAATTTTTAATATCATAATGTACGTTTCTTCAAGAATAAGATTTAAGCGAGAACTGTCCAAATTACAGATGATGTTTTTATTTACTAGTGGTTTCACTACTTTTAATGACTAAGATAATTCGTTTCATGTATTTTGTGTGCCTGTAAATTGCATTTTCTTAATCGATATCGTGTCTACCTCTACAGGTTCGCTGTTTACTAAGAGCGCCGATCTATATCAAGCAAGGTCAATCCATGTCAGGAAAAGTAGTACTCATCGCAAACAAAAGGTAAAGAAAACATCCGGTACAAACCCGTTATCCGATCTCAGAAAATACTGTTATAGAGAGGGATGAAGATTTCATGTATTCAGAACGCATGTATGTTACTGTATATGCTTGTTTGGGCATGTGAGCCATGGAAAGGGCATGAAGACCAAACATTGGAAATGGTGGCAGAAGTGCACAGTCCATAGCTATGTCCCTGCTGATCCTAAAGGGAACAGTTAGAGCTCTGACAATAGCTGGAGGTGCAGAAGCAAACTCAGAACAGTTTTTCACATTATGATTTCATGCATAGGCTACTGCTTATGACAGACGCCCAGCCTGTTAACAGTCCTGACCAACTGAACATTTGGAGGTTTTATTATTGTAATTTTTCTGTATATTCTAGTAATGAAACCAAGAATTCCTCAAAAGCAGCCTTGGCACTGTAGCATGCGAGTCTTAAGAAAGTTGTAAAGAGAAGAAAGTTAAGAATTGTTGACTTTTGAGCAATGAGCCGGGTAAGTGTTTCTGGGAAAAGGCCCGCAGGATCAGGTAGGGACTAAAAGCCATCCACTAACCCAACTCAGTAGGATTCGAGCCTGTGTCACCGCAGTGGAAGATGAAGAAAGCACCACTTTAACCGAGAAAGCACGCCTCCTATTTCTCCCTTTTTCTCCTCCCACCAGACAAAGCTACGACATTGACATCGAGCTGCAGTCGGACAGCAGCGGGGCCCGCTCCAACAATCGGCTGGACCTGAAGAATCCTTTCTTCCACTACACCGGCCAGCAGCCCCAGCCGCCCACCGGCAGCCATGAGACTTCGCCCTCGGAGAAGTACTGGGACTCGGTGCCTCAGACGGCCATGGTGAACGGGATGGCAGACACCAACTCCATGCAGGTGACTCCGGTGCAGCAGGGTATAGGGCAGAGTTTCAACCTTATACCACTTGGTAAGTGTGAGTGGTTTTTGCATTGGAAAGATTCGATGTTGTAGTACATTGATCACACCACAAGCTGACGTATCATGTGCACAAAGTCTATGGACGGTACGTCCTTTTTTGATGCACCAAACGACAGTGTCCATCACTTCATGGTGCAACCAATGATTTGGATAGGAATATTTCAAACGGTGTCAAAGTTCTCTTACATTTTTCAGTAAGTTGATATTGAATGTCAAGTTCCTTGGAGGTCCATGTTCCCAGTAAAAATTGGAAATGTGCTATAAGTCAGCTGTATTCAGTAGGTGGAGTAGTTAGTAACGTTACTGACGAAGGAACGGGATTTCATCACACCATTTCCTAGTTCATTTGACTACTTTAGCAAGAAACCTTAAGCCTCCCGGTGCTGTAAGCCAGTAGTACACTCTGTACACTTTGGGTTTCAAGGGGCATCCGTCTCAATGTTAAGACTGATAGCCAGGGTCCTACCTCCCTCATTCGTACAAAGTTCTTTAAAAACTCTTGGTGGATTTTGAAGGATCATGGAAGCTTGGTTAACAGTTTTCTACATCCAAACCTGCAAAGTTCTCCTGAACCTCCCGGTAGATTTGAAGGATATTGGAAGGCTTCCTACTGGGTGCCTACCTTCCACAATTCTAGTAAGTTCTCTGAAAATTCTTGATGGGTTTTTAACCACTTCCTGCCGGGGACTCCGAAATTGGAGCCATATGGTGTATGTGTGGTCAGGGTCTCCAAACTCGGACAAAGGAAACAGGGCCGTGTAACAAAAGACTGTACTCCGAACAAAAGACCAGGCTGCTGGGCATTACCGACATTTTTCACTCTCAAAAGTGGTGATAATCCAGTGTTGTTTTGAAACCGTATACCAGGGTTTGGGGCATTTAGAGCAAGCGGATTACCACCGGGGACAAAAGCGCTCCACCAGCGCAGCGATGAGCCACACAGCACCGCTGCACGCTAATCTGGCCCCTATTGAAAAGAGGTCAGCAGTGCACTGAGCCAGGTTCAATCTGGGCTCTGTGTACAAGGCTGCAGGCCTGGCTGAAATATTCGGGCGTCAATGAAGGTCACCTGTCAACTTAGAGTAGTGCCTAAAAATTACTCCGTGCGGCTATAAACGACCGTTAAATGGAATGATGAATTTTTGAAGGATTTTGAAAACGGAAAAAATGATAGTCATGCCAGCCCAGCATCATCAACGTTGAAAAATGCCCCGGCACGAAGTGGTTAAGGATGCGTTAAGTTTTGCTAACAGTTTCTTACATCCAAACCTACGAAGTTCTTCCAAACCTCTTGGTGGATTTTGAAGTATCTGGGAGAGTTTGGTCCTATGTAAGCATGATATGTAAATTTGATTTATCTGATTCCAGCTAATGCCGAGCCCATCAGCCATACAGGCATCCTGCCCGGGGGAGCCACCCAGCGCCAGCAGACCTACAGCCTGCCCTCCTCGGCCGGCACCCTGATGAGCAACGCCAGCAGTTTGCCGTTCATGCAGAACGGCCACCAGGCGGCGTACACTTCATCCAACCCTGCTGCGGAGGCAGGGGGCCCCGGTGTCGCCAACCCCTTCCCCGTAGTGGCCCCGGCCCAGTTCTCCATCGTCGGGGCCACGGATCAGCTCAGCCTGCAGCCAGGCACAGTCATCATACAGGGACAGCCCGGGGTGCAGGGGTAAGAGGGTGTGGGACTTTTTGGGGTGTGTTCTAGGAGTTGTGGGGGGGGAGGGGAAATCATCACACCTGTGTTTTGAGACACTAGAGGGTACACCTGCAAGTGACTTGTTTCTAATACTCAACTGGAGGGTCTGTGGTGGGTAGTCGCCAATCTCTAGCCGTAGTTTTTGCCCACGACACACTTGTTTTTCAACTCTTAACAGTTCAGCAAAACCTGCCATTTTTTTTCGCTCAGTGTGTACATTCAGCATATTAAATTTAGTTGGGGGCTTCCGTCACGAGGGATTTCAAAGAAATAGGGAGCACTTGTGGCAAGATTGTCTTTGTAACTTAGGTATTTGGTTGTATTCAGTTCTTCAGGTTATCCAACCTTGAATAATTTGGGATATAGTGGATGTGTGGCGCAAAATTGCTTCAGGTTTGTTGGTGACAAAAGTTGTCTTCTGAGTTAACCTCTTGGTAAAAAGCACCAAAACAGACGCAGCAGGCTTTGGATCAGTTTTCAGTGTTTGTCCAAAGCGCCAACTGAAGCAGAACACTTGCAGGTTGCACATTGAACGATTAATCTCCCTTTTTTTTTCAGTGTTTGCGTAAGACTCGAGTCATATTTGTGGTGGGTAGAATTATTGAGTAAACTTCTTGGCTTCATTCTGCAACAGCTTCTGCCCCCCAAAAAACACCCTCACCCACAATGGTAGAAGTGACCGGTCCTTGTGTCTATCCCGGGTCACTTTTGAGCAGTCACATGACTCATCCTCTCCACTGATTGGCCAGTGCCGTACATTTTGATGGGTCCCTTCTGACTTACATATGTACTAATATATTTCTTTGTCTTTTAAATATATATGTGTGTTCTTCTTGAATCCTGAATGTTCCAGGTCCATGATATGATGGTATATTATCATTCAAGTCATGGAATGCCATATTAATGTATCATATGTTCTCCTTTGTCCTTAGAATGACATTTCAAGCAATGAAACTGTATAGCCTATGAATTATGGAGGTTTTTGGTAACCATTGTTGGGTTTTTGAAATTTGTAGGGCACTGTTTCATCCGAATGTACTGTGTGAAAGCCAAGTTGAAATTCTTTCAATTGAAAATCACAATCAGTGATGGGGTTTCTGTTATAAATTCGCAGTCGTGTAAATTTATGAATTCGTTTGCATTTTGTAGGCACCTTACACGCAAAATATTTTCAAATTTTGTTCACTGTTCTTAAAATCTCTCATCTATTTGCACCTACGCTGATTTTATTCCTAAATTTGAATTTAATTAGTAAGTTGTTTACAAACAAAAATGATCGGAAACCCCACTGAGTATGGGAAAGGCGATTGGTGATAAACTAAACATTTCTTAGAATGGCCTATCAATACTACGCAGTGTATTTGGTAGCTTGTCTGCGCATCCGCAGCTTTGTGTTTTTAACTGCACAGCGGATAATCAAAGCAAGTCTGTATTGATCTGTACATTATAGGTACCAACCCTGACTGCAGTCTTTGTGCCTTGGGCACGTTTCAGCCTGTATGTCCATATTTATTGGTAGACAGCCAAAACTTCATTAGAATTTGTGCAAACATTACAAAAAAAAACAGAACTGTAAATATCCACTGTATGAAGTTGTCTCGTTACTCCATCATAGTATAACAGAATAGAAACAAAATCAAGTAGTGTAGATTTGTTCAGCATTCTAGATCTTTCAAGTTAGCGTCTGGTTACTGATTAAGTACATTTAGTTGTCCTAGAAACCGTCGTCATGCTGTTGAGTTTCTCAATCGCTATTTAATGAGTGGGCCATTTTTGTAGGCTTCAGTGATGTGGTAATGCAATATTGTTTGTTCCTCCACGCTCAACTGGAAGTGTTGGGCACAGCGCATGGGTACCAGCTATTAATAGGGAGCGTGTGTACCCAAAGCTGGTCCCCTACTTGATTTTAAAGGGATGAGGTGGTTGTCTTTTTTAATGGAGAGGAAGGGGAAAAAAAATCTTGACGTTAGAAAAAAAGCGGGAACTTTCTGAAATGTATTTGCAGGTTTTATAAATATCAGTGAGGCCCAGAAATTCAAATACAGCCATTACTTTACGGCAACAGCAGGGGTCATGTGTAAAGTCTTACCAGAATATCAACAACTTTCTGAGGTTTGCTGCGTCTGAATTGACTGGCTACATCTGGAAGTAAAAGTGGTAGTTAACGCTTTGCCAGAGCCGTACACCCCAGACCTAGACGTCCTCAACTGCTTGGCCAGATCCTATGTACAACACTGGCTGGGATTAATGAAGAGTAACCTGAGAAGATCTGATAGTGATACACCTGTCTGTGGGAAGTGGCTGTAAGCTGCTAGCCAGCGGCTTTAATAGGCAAACATGTTCATTTCAGCCGCAGCCGCAACAATCAGATGTAGCCATTGACTGCCAAAATGATACGCAACTTACCACAATGACGTGAGCATTTTCTGGGTACATGCTGAATGATATGCGATAACCTATGTAGGATTGGTACTCAGAGGGGATTTTCAAATTAAAAGTGTATTCATTTGTTCATTTTCAGAATGTGAAATTGGGAGCAGGTTTGGCTGAAATAATCTTTGGGGGAAATGGTTTGAGCTTTGAAGGTTCATTTCATTTTGTGGTGTTCCAATAAACTCTGCGCTGAAAAGGAGACGAAGAGAAACCATGAGTCCAGCGCATAATAATTTGTTCTGTTAGTGTCCCCTTTTGAGGGGTTTTAAAATGTTTACTTTAAAATCTTAAATACTCATTCTGTTAATGTAGATGAGTGGTTGCTGTGGAAGATTTTTTTTTTAATATTTGTTTCCCACTTCGGAGAAACAACTACACTCCAATGGAAGAATCAGTTGCCCAAAAGGTGCAACTGACGAATTTAAAGTGGTAAAACGACACAAGCGTAATTCAGATACGGAGATAAGATACCCAATATTGAGGCATTTAATACTGATACAAAAACTGAAGATTTTTTTCACAGTTCCATCAACCCATACAAACGTTTCATTACATAAGTATCCAAATAGGTACCCAAAATTTCTGTTAGAAATTCATATAAATGTAAAATAAATGTACATTCACTTCAAATATATATATATGACCGGTCACTTCTGATACATGTTTGTGACCATTTTTACAGCTAACATTTCAAATTAACTATCAGTGACTACTGCTACATTTGGCTTCTATCTCATTGGTAAATTGATTGAGTTGTATTCACTTCAGTGTGAAGTAATAAATCTATTAACCTCAGCAAACAGGAGTGCATGAACATACATGTAATGGGGAAAAAAAATTCAAGCCAATGATGATACAAGTAAGACAAGACATAAAATGATTCACCGGTACCAACAACAGACCTGCTCTAAGATATTGGCACAGCCTGCTATGAATGGAGGGCCTGTTATGGCATTCTCAAGGCCGTAGTTTGTCAAACAAAAGAGAATATTTAAGGATACTTATGAAGCCTCTTACTGCTACAAGCAGCCAATGGTACAAGTGGCAAGAACAAATGATTTCAAATACATGTCGTAATTGGATCCAGTTTCCTGGTTTCAGTCTCTCACAAGAGGGTGGGATTTACAGAGTTGACCACACAAGTTTTAGTCACTCTTACACTTACAGGGGCCCGCCATACAGGCTGAAAGTACAGCTTTTTCTATCCAGCTCACAGCACAGACTTCTCTCTCTGCTGCCAATGTCAAGTCAATATTTATTGATACTGAATGTAGGTCGTATGGAACACAATCATGCTTTTTTGCTATTTGGGGGGAGGGTTGAGCAGGGTTCCATATGGCAAATTTGAAATAATGGACCACTTTTTCAGGTAAATGAAAATTTGTGCAGCCATTTCCCTTTCAGGCAGTGATTAACACAATTTTCCGTCAGCAGTGCAGAATTATAGCCGACATTTTGAAATATATAATTAGCCAGTGCGCAACCTGTTCTCAGAACGGTTTTCAAAGAGCAAATTTGCGATTCAAAAACCCCTCAAAACTGAGCAGAGCTTTTCCCTGATTGGACCCTGGACATCTTCAAGCCCTGCCTGCTTAGCATGTTGGCAATTAACGCATGCTCCTCTTCGATGCCACGATGCATGTTCCAGCCACGAGCGCCAAACGAGCGTGCACCAATGCCACATTTCTGTGCACACACGATGGCCACACATTGCAGCTGTGACTGGTCAGACCACCATGAGGCTGGATTAAACAGATTGATCTGTTCCTGACGTACCTCCTTATTTCAGCGCACTCGAGAGATAAAAGATGTTGGAACGAGTCCAAATACGTACGGCTGAGAATTTTTGAGTAAGAAGATCCCATTTGCTCTTGCACGTTGAAAGCCATAATTTATAAAATGGAATTCAACATTGCTTAATATGTTTGCAAATTGCTTAATATGTTTGCAATTTTAAATATCTAGTTGAAATTTTCTCAATTTCAAGCATTATCAAAAATTACAACTTCCTGTTAAACTGCTTTGAAATATACCTGTTCATTCAGGAAAGCCTTCATGATTAAAAAAAAAAATTGTCCTATCCTTTAAATATCTTGAAATCTATTAACAGGACAGCTTATTAATCCAGCGATATTTAAATTGTATCAAAAGACGAAAAGCTTTGAGACTCACTCATGATATCTGAAAATGCGCCCCCCTAAAAAAAATTTAAAAAAAAAAACCCAGCACTGCAACCAAAGAAAAAGAATTTCCTGAAAAAAATACTTGTGTCTAAAGTCCTGGCTATAGCCGACATTAATACGCATGCGTGAGAGATGGATTAAGCCACTGAACCAGAAAAGTCCACAGGCGCATGCATTAATAATAGCCACAGCCATGACTTTGGGCAAAGCCGTAACTTCTGTTTACTATGGTGGCCCTGGATGGACATCAAACATTGCAAATATCTTTGCAAATATTTGCGACATCACAGATTTTTTGCAAATATTTGCAAAGATATATGCGATGTTTGATGACCCTCAAGGGCCACCACAGTTTACCCTCCTTCCCATCAACCCTTGGTCTCAGATTACTAGTTATAGTGAATCACGTTTCTTTGAATAAATCATGCGTCATAATCATAAGCGCATAGGGTACACATAAGCGCAGTAAAATTGAGTCGTCAGACCATTTGTTTGGAGGGGATTTTGCTTCAGAAAGAGCAAACAAGGCTCTTTGTTTTGGTGCATCACTCATTTTTGCATCACTGCGTGGGTAACAATGTTGAGAGTTCCCACCAATTTCCATGACGCAAGGTTCTTTTAAAAGCCTGTTTTACTCAAAAGTGGCTCTAGCGACTTGTGACTCACTTTCACAGAGCGGGTCACGTGAGTACAAACCGACTCATTCATTGCTGGAAGTTAATGCTTTCCTTACTAGTGGAATCCTTCATCAGCCTCTCTTTCTCTGTGCTAATGTCCTTATCCACGTCGCCGTCACCCTGAATGGGGGCTCTGCCACGATACAGGATGTAGTGCTGCACCATGAACAGCATGTCGAACAGGATGGAGAAGAGACCCAGGCCAAACTTGGTGGGGTCACCGAAGATGGACCTCCAGTCGTCTGTGGATTCAAGGAAACAAAGTCACTGAATCGCAGATTGACAAAAAAATTTGACTTTACAAAACTTGGAATGGGAATTTTGTGGAAGTTGCTGTGTCTCAGAGTTGTTATTTTTTATAAAATTTATTTATTTTTTTTTATAAAGAGAAATGGTGTGAATGTGATCTGCACACTGAAATCAGGAACGGACACCTCTCGTAGACAGCCATCTTTGTAGGAAAACTACAATTACAACTCAGTGTGGACAAATGTTCTGAGCACATGCAAAATATTTGGTCAAAATTTCTTTGACAATACGGCACAGCCACAAAAATTTGACACGGAAAACACTGACGCATGGGACAATCTGCAGGAAGTGATGTCAATTGAGAGAGACAGTTGCAAGTGGATCCTTTAGAGATGTGCTTGTGAGTTGTGACGCGACAAGAAATTGCTGTTTGATTAACATCAAATAAATTAAGGGCAAAGATCCATGATAACCTATGATCAGTGACTGGCCTACGATTTCTTCCACTTTCAGTGCAAGGTCCTATGGCAAAGACTTAGTTTTACTAATAAAATAGATCTTGGTTGCTGGTGTTGTTTAAACTTACCGTTATTGAAGGAAAGAAGGAACATTTGCACCAAACTGAAGGAGCCTCCAGTGAAGTCTAGCAGGACATTACCAATACTCCAACCCACAGTGCTCTTCCTTCTGAAATTCATCCAGGCCTGGGAGAAATCAGCATGGGCATTACAGGAGACCAAAGGAAGGTGAAAGCTCAGAGTCAACCCCATGCAGGTACATGAGTACAGTCGGGGAGAACAGTTCAAATATACAAAAATCCTCCAGGAATGGGACCTCTGTCTCAGGGGTGAGATTAGGGGGTCACAAATCCACAAAAACATCTAGCAGTGGGGTTGTGATGATGAATTTCTGAGGCTTTTAATAGCTGATAAGGCATCAGTTTGTTCAAAATGGTGATGATTTTGCAAACCTTTTACATTTTTGTAGGAGTTGAGAAAAGTAGCAAAATCAGATGATGAAGCCTCTCAAAGAAAACAAGAATATTTAGGCCAAAAAGTCCCGAAAATGGGAAAATTCTAAAATCATAACCCTACTGTCAGTCTCCTGGTGCCTAAAAGTACATGTAGTGTGTTCAATTCGAACAGCATGCCGATGTTAGGAGAGAAAAACATCAGTGCAGCTGTGACGATTTTCTTGGCCAAATGTGGCAATGCTATTGCTTAGCAAATGAATAGGCCATGAAATGGTCTACAAAGAATCAGCCACCTGTAAAAATTTAATCACATGGTTGTTTTCGGCTGGCAACATATTTTTTTGCTCAGATAGAATTTTCCATGTTTCAGCAAATTCCTTTGCTGGACAACATGCAGAAATGGGCATCTCGTTTATCCCATGCTTGTTCAATTGCAGAACTCGATTTCTGCAACCCTGTTTGCAATTTGGCGGAGCTCCTAGGCAGAGACAACTGCTTAGAAAATTGTATGCCTTTCATGCAAAACTCGACAGGAAAACATCTTTCCTATGAATGCATAATTCTGTCTTTGACAGTTTCGGTGTAGTCCGCCTCTACACAAAAAGCTCAAGATCACATTTCAGAACCTTGTTTTGCATCCTTCTCACAATAAGACACAACACATCAAATTGTTTAAGCAATGTGCCTCAATACAAACACACCCATCTTTACACAGCTATACTTGTGGGGGATTTCCTTTGTTCTTGTTACAAAATTCCCACACAAGACACAAACAATTTCAAATCACTCCAATTTAAACCAAATTCACTTTCCTGGGTTGAAATTTCGACTGTATATCCCTTCTATAAAACACTTCAATTTGCGACAGATTTTTACCCATCAAAAATTTCCCCTTTCTGAGTTATTTCCAAATATCAGTTTTGTGAAATTCTTGTGAGGCACCAGTTTTGGTAATCCACAAGGCCCCACGTATAAGCGCAGCAGAACTTACCTGTGGCACATACTTGATGATGGACACGCCTAACTTGATGTAGGAGAAATAGTAGAGATAGGTAAGCCAGTTGATGATTCGTTCGTTAGAAGCGGCTGTGATGATCAACGTGATTACCGAAAACAACCCAGCCGCAGTTAACAGGGCCATGCAGACCTTGGATACCTTCTGGCCACCCCTCTGAAAATACCAAGGTAAATGTGAGATTTCCAGGCTTCTTTTTCAGCAATGCCAGGAACAGAATCCCTTGAAATCTGCAGCATAATGTTAAAAACGTATTACCTCTTCAGGTTTGAACTAAACTGACACTGTACTTCATAAAAACAAAACCATGATTAGAGACTTTCTCTGAACCCATCTGGCATAATTAGAATACTGGCACACTGTACTTTGCTAACTCACGTTTACACATCAGTGACCACGATATCTCTCAACTACACTGGGTTGAGTTTGCTTTTTGGCAAATGTCAAATTCTGTGACATGGCAAATGACAAGCAAAATTTAATCCTGCTTTCTTATAATATTTGGAAAGGTAACATAATTGTGGGTAACACTGGTTTTACCAATGGCTAAAAAAATATCTTTTAAAGACCACTCAAGAAATTTCTGTTCGCACACAAAATTAAGACCAGACATCCAGGGTTTCAACTTTCTCTCCCCAAGAGGAGAGAGAAATATTTCACAGCTTTAACAAAAAAACAGCCGAACACAAACTCACGTCATATATGACACACTGGAAGATGGTGACAGCCGTGATGGCCATGGCATGCAAGGTGAATAAGACGTCATTGAGCAAGACTGGGTTGACACCATAAGGATTCTTGGCCTGGTACTCATCCTTCAAGGAAAACACAGACAGGCCAATAGTCTAAGGCATTGTTCATAAGAGCAAACTGATTGGTCAAATGGCATATACCTATATGCTTGCATGTGATGCCCTTACTGGCTTTCTGCTCATTCTGCTAAGTTTTGAACTTTTTTTGATTGATGAAGATTGTTCGTCTTCAAAGCTCACAATATCATAAACCCTATCGAGGTAAATTATTTTACACATTTAGGAACGTTCAATGTAATTTTCTTCTTGGCCAAATGGATAAAATTGTTGAGTGGAAATGGCCTCTATAAACTCGGTTCACCAGGAAAATAGAATTCAGGCCTACTGGGCTAGAATTCACACAAGAAAAGTCATTTAAAATGTCAGTACTTTTAGATTGTCCGCAATGATTCTAGTAGAGTTGTGTAACAGTTTTTATGTTCAGTTATGTGCCTTGCCATTGGGGGCCAGCTCATCCGTTGCGTTATCATTTGAATTGGTCTGTTTACAGCGGTTTCTGAAAGTCCCATAATTGTGGTTGCGACACTGAACAATTTGAGGCACATGGGACCGGGGATTCGGCCCTCACGAGGAATCAAAGTCGAAGTGATACAATAAATGCACCCCATGAATCAGAGGCACCCATCGGCTGAATTGGATTGGCTGAATTGAATTGGAATGGAGACGAAGATCGTGGCATGTTTGTGGTTACAAGCAGCCAGTCTGTTGTGGTTTCGTGCTGTCGAGTGGAATATCTCTTTTTATTGCATCAATCAAAGGCAGTAATCATTGCAGTAAACGTTTGTCGCTCATTTTTGTTTTGATTTCGGATATCCGGTTTTGAGATTTCAAACCAGTTTGTAGAATCAAAACCGAATGACTGAAAATCCAGATTTGGGTCCCACCACTACTCAAAATGGAAAAAGTAAATGAATGCAATAAAACAGCACAGCATACTGACTTCAAAAATACGACAGAACTTAATGGTCTTACCTTTACGTGATCAATCCAGAACATGCCAACATTGAAGAGCCCATAGGCAGAAAAGCCGACAATGTTGTAAGCAAGGAAGTCAAAATTGAGCCCGACAACGCTGCAAATGATAAAGGTAGAAAACTTTGAAATCCAAGTATTGAAGTACGACAAATTTCACAGATTCAAAGTGAGATTTGATCGCGCAAGAGTTAAGATAAAATTGCAAGTACATTCTAGGTAGAGAATGATCGTCTGCAACTCAGAGCCACATTTCCATTATAACGTATGAATATATCTAAATATTAAACATTCAACTCCCGTTCTGAAAATGTTTCCAACTTACAGTACCTCTTGCGTTGAAAATTCAGCACCACTTGCGGGTAAAAGGAGATGGTCCATGCCGCAAAGTAGATCCAGCCAACGATGATGATCACGACGTTGAGCGGCAAGCTATGGACAACTTGGACACTGACAAACAACGAGGACAAGCTGGAAACCAAAATGGATGAAAACCAGCCATGAACTCCCTTGAATGTGATTTCATAGAGAATGGTCAAGTAAGCCATCACGTGGCACGTCTCATAATGCAAACTTTCACCAAATGTTGGTTATTCTGATTGTCTTGGCTGGGTAACAGCAGTTAGAAAAGAAATGTCTACATAGCGGGCAGTCTCGGCAGAAATCAAACAGTGCACACCGTGGGCCACCTTAGCAAAATTTAGAAAAAGTCACTGTTTATTAAAAGTGAGGGATAATTTATGCCACATTAACTTTGGAAACTAGACACACGTTACTCGATTGATAGACGTGTCACGTGCAAGGTTGCATTTTGCTCTTTGATGGATCAATAAACACTATGTGAAAATAGCTAAATATTCAGAAGGCAAAAGACAGCAGCGCTAAACATCGGGAGTAGTGTTGTATTTGAGTCCACACAAGTCCAGTCACAAGTCCCTTCACAAGACCTTCTCACAACTGTCCAAAGTTTTTGGGGGTATTGAATCCAACTCCAGCAGAAGCACCCCCTCCGGAGCCTCCATTGCTAAGGAAGTAGCATCCTCTCTTGGTCCAGCTCAAGGTATATATTAGAAACAAACTTTGTCTTTTTTTTGGCCTTACTTTCCAAGTTGCTCATTGGTGGAGTTCATCATGATGGTCACTGAGCCGACAATGGAGCTCATGTTGGTAAAAACAGGTACTCTGACCTTGGCACCAGTGCTGTTAGCTGGAATTTCAACCTGGAAATATTTTAAAAAGAGCCAAAGAGGGGGGAATTAGATGAGGAACAGAAGGTGAATAATCTAGTTTTGTTGTTTTAATTCTTCATATGACTTGATGCAATTGGCAATAATCTGCTGTCGGGTAATATCAAACTGAGCCCCAACTTACGGATTCTTCAGGTGCTGCGATGGTATCATCCGTGCTGAAAAACATCAATGTTGCTGGCTCGTCCAGCACAATGAGGGATTGCACGTCAAACGAATCTGATTTGCCGTTCTCGATGGTGAGGGTTTGGGTGGACACGGTCAGGTTAGCCTTGGTTTTTGGGTCCGCTGCGGCTGCGGAAAGATCGCAGGCAAGAAGGCAGCCAATCACAGCAACCGCTGTGGACCAGAGTCGTCTCTGCGTCATGGTGAGGCAACGGTCTGAAGGATGGGGTTGGCATTGAGTGAAGAAAATGCGAGAAAGAAGGTGCTCATCCCATCAAGGGTAATGTACAAAAACCACCCACACAATCTAACCACAGCCCCACCCCTGAAACTTATCACAACTCAATCAAGACAAGACAAGATTACACTCAAAACTGGCAAGAGAGAATAGTTACAACTGACCTAGAAGACCTATTCCCTGATTTCACCAAGCTCTTAGCCAGTCTGAATAGTTTTTAGGAGTCTTTTTGAATTGAAATTGAGGTACCACCGGGACCAGCTGAGTAGCCCAATTATTGTAAAGCACAGACACATAACAGATAACGGCAGAACGTGACTGAGCATAGGCATGCCTGATACCAAAATGGGGCCAGTGGGGCCCAAGTAACTTGGACAAGAGCTGGGAATTCCCTTGTTTAACATTTGGACATGGATAGGCAATGGACCTAGCCCTAGTCTACCAACTAACAAACTGGTTGACTTACATGACTTAGCTATTGTGGCATTCTGCATTCAAACTTTTATTCTTATAGACTAGGTAAACGTTAGACCAGCTGACCAGCATGACCAGGCAGCACCAGCCGAAAGCTTCAGAAAAATGCTAAACATTTGTCAAAGGCACATTTTCAACCCCTAGGGAAATACGGTTCATCGTTTTCGCTCGTACGCTCCAGTGGAGCGTGCGACATGTGTGACGACCATCCCCTCATCCCTCCCCTAGATCTAACCCTCAGTGAATGGGTATAATTTTATAATGAAGAACCATACCGCAGTACCAGGTACATATTTTGTACACAAAACGGAAAGAAAGGAACATGATTGATGATTATTTACCTCAGTCCTGGCGTAAATTTCCCCTCAAACAAGCCAATTGATCGCAGGAAAAGCCTTTGACTACGAAATACGCACAGTGATTCGTATGGCTTTTACTTAGCATACATGTACGATCCAGTATCAAAATGACAACAAAAATGGGCCTACGACACGTATGGATATCGCTGTCTGTCCAGCTGTTATGGGGCTAATCTTGGCCCAAGACGTCAGTAATCGTCAGCGGATCGCCGCTCGGGCGCACGCGATTTTTTTTTGTAAATTGGGAGGATGCCCTCTAGCGCACCTGACTGAGCTCGAGCTTGGACTAGCAAGTTCACAGTGAAGGTAGGAACCATGCATTCACTAACGTATTGGAAATTTTCTTTGTTTTTTCCCCCAAGTTTTTCCTGGGGAACCAATCTTCAGCTAGCTTAGTTTGATGTCTTATATTGAATTATGCATATAAGTTCATGACGTCAATCGACCCGAGAACTGAAAGCCAAAATGGCATCCTGATCTTGAAGTCCGAAAATTTCTGCATAAATTGCTTAGAAAAACATTGCTTGAATGTAAAGCGAGAAATTTGTTTGACTGTTCCCAAAATACACAGGTTTCAATGTAAAGGAATCACACCCACCTTAGGGTGCTGGTACCCACTATACTTTTCCCACATATTCAGCTATTTGTTGATCATTTACCCAAGAATTTCCAGTTTGGGGGGGGGTCGGGAGGATAGGCCAAATTCGCAGTACTTTAAGCGACCAACAAAATCACACTGTGACTTTTCGTGTGGTGATAGCGCCCAGTAACGGTGTAGTGTGCGTGTGATGGTTCAGGGACTAAACTACTTGAACCTGTACCTTAGGTCTTGGAACCAAAGGAAAGTTGGAAATATTCATAGGCATTCTACAACCACCTAAAAAATCGCATGCGAGCGGCGACCCGCTATCGATCACTGACGTCTCGGGCCAAGACTACTCTGAAGCACGAGCCACTCATGTGATGAAGTAAACTTGCACAAGTCCAGTAAGCTTCTTAGAACTGCTGCGTCGCGCCCTGGCCCCCCCTCCGACGAAGGCGAGGGCGCCCTCCTCCTCGAGGCGCGGCCACTGATCTATGCCCGGCGCGTCGGACGGCACGCCCGGGCCGGAGAGTCTCTGAGCAGCTAGGGACGAGTCCGTTGGGACCGAAGTATACCGTCCCCTAAGAAAGTTGGTCTCCGTCGAGATGATGACTAATCTGATTGGCCGAAACTTAGTGACGTAACCTGGACAATCCTGACTTGAAATAAACTTCACCTGGACACCTGACTTATATACAATTAATAAGCGGCTGGTTTATTCATCAACACACTCAACCAATATACCAGCAGAGGGCGCTCTCAATGGAAAGACTGCGTGACAAGACCTTGCCCGGAGGAATGAGCCCCACGATAACCCGTGCGCATCCAGTGCCACCGGGACCTGAATAAGTCAATAGAGCTATCTCGGGGCTAAAACAGCACTCACAACTTGCGCTGCGAGATAGCGATCCACCCTTAAATCGACCGTAAGCTCCCAAGAGGAACTCTTACCGCACCACCAAATAGCCCCTCAATTAACCCACCAAGCCCTTCAACGACACACGCACCACTAGGGACTAGCCATAATAACGACCCAACGTAAAAGGGTACCTGTACGCCCACTCAGTTGCTCTGCTTAAACCACAGTTCAGAGTTTTTGCAGCAGGATGGAACCCAATACAAGGTCCCCCGTATGCGTAACACGCCCCCGGAGCGCCTTAGCCTTTGCGCTGCTGTGATTTTCTTCTGAGAAAGGAAACAGGCAAGAAAATACCGCTACCAGATCGAAGAAAAACGCTATTTTTTTTCAAAATGATCTTTTAAAGGCATCGCAGTGCTTTATATGGAGGTGGCAGCATTCATTAGTCCTTTTATAAATCAGGGAGGAAAGACGGGAGAGAGAGAAAGAGGCACCCACCGCGATAAATTCCACGTCAGTGGTGTCCATCCGTTGCTAAGTTACCAGATATTCACGTAAATTGGCAGGAGAACTTTGATTTATAAGTATCATAGAATCATTGCCAAACACTAGTACTAATGGCACTCTCCCTGTCCATCGAATTATGGCAATTACTAGGAGCACGCAGCTTCCTCGGAGTAATTGCACGACGGCGTATTTGATAACAAAGAGGTATACCTCACAAAAGATGCAATCTTCAAAGTTTGGCGTGTTGGCTAGTCTTCTTTCAAGAGGGCATAGACGAGGTGTCTATTGTAAACTAGCACCACATAAATGTTGCATTAGCTACTTGTACCAGACGCTCGGCTCTGTATCAGCAGATTTCTTAACGACGACCTCCATTCAACCAAGACCCTGTCCAGAACAGTAATTCTTGATGGGTTTTCATAAATATTTATATCCTTTGGGATTTTAACCAGTCTGAGACCTTCTCAGTGCTAAATATAGCTTGTATTGTAGGTTTTGTACAGAGCTGGAGGTTTTTCTGAGTCGGGAATTTGAAGCTCGATCACCCGCTTTGGGGGAAGCGATAACTAGCATTCACGTACTGAGGCACAAAATGACATGTAATCAATACTATTACTCGTAGTCAAACCTGTAGCTGGCAAACAACAGAGGAAAATTATTTTTTGCTCCTTTTGGGGGAGTGTAATTTCTGCTGCCACCCCCGCTCTTGTTTGACTCAGCTAGACTTCAGTATTTTTGCTATAAGTATTCAGTTCAGACCATAATGAGCTCCTTTGTGGCTAGAGATAGCAGACCATACTCACGACCCTATCCCCACTTTCGAATCAGGGGGGGGGGTAAGTCCAATAGTTGCACTGTACTGAACACGCTTCAAAGTCAAAGAGTGCGGAAGAGGATGAGTGACTGCAAAAAAGACTAGCCAAGTCTCAAATTAAATTGAATCTAAGTAATTTCTTAGACCTTCTATTCAACAGCAACCTTTGAAAAGAACAGAAAAGAAAAGAAAAGAAAAAACTACCTTGATCACCAACCAAATTAAAGACAACCTATACAGTGAAAGCAATGCTAACTTCTCGAAGATCATTGGAGCTGAGAAAGATTCGTTCGTGACGTCGGATCGATTGTGTCGAGAGTTGATTATAACGCGCAATACCATTCCAATTTGTTCCCGATAAATCACCGGTTTTCTGGATGACAAAGCAGTTAATCAATTTAATTGGCCTTGTGGTCGAGGGCAAATACCGCAGCATTGTATCAACACCATATATAAGATCATCTCCAAGGCATAAATCTGACTAGGTAGGACTGTAACTTGTGTAAGGACATTGGGCGCCGGTCAAGAAATTTTGCTCTGTACATTGCACAGATTAGGTCTGTGTTGAAAGTCAATTGTTATAGCCCTCATACTCCCCAAAAATCCCTCGAAATGGAGGCCTCTAGGTTGAATGAGACTGGTATATGCGACGAATTTGATGGCCTACTTAATTTCAACGACGAGGCGACGAAGGCACGATTTTTCCAGACCGTTTACGAGACGTTTCTCGTAAAGGCTGGGATACCACTGGTCTGGGTGATAGGTCTACCAACAAATGTTGCTTTTCTCTACACAATCTACAAGGTAGCCCACATGCGGACCATCACAAACTTCTACCTGGCCAACTTAGCCCTGGCTGATCTGCTCTGTCTAGTCTTGTACCCAGGTCTCTACAGCTGGGCTTTCTTCTCTACCCCGGTGGTCTTCAACTTTCAGACTTCATCCTGGGTTGAGTGCGCTGCCCTATTTTTCTGCTTTGACATTCCATACTTCGCCTCCAACGCCATCGTGACTCTGGTAGCTCTGGAGCGATTCTACGCCATCTGCCGTCCCCTGCAGAGCCGACAAGTGAGCAGTCCCCGACGAGCTGCAGCATTGGCGGCGACGTTCTGGCTGGTGTCTGTAGTGGTGTCAGTGTCGGTCAGCTTCCGTCGAATCACGGTGCAAGTCTTCTGCGTCGACTGGCCAGACACGGACGGCGGTGAGTACGACACACTCCCCGACACTGTGTCGTTCTGCACTGCTGGGGAGCCGTGGGTGGCCACCTATTCCCACTGCATGTACGTCACGGTTTGGATTCTTGGGTTGATCGTTAACAGCTTCCTTTACTTCAAGATTGTCCGGCGTCTGGGCCGACGTTCCGTCGGAGGGTCTCTTAGAAACGAGAGAGAGACGAAGGAAAGACTGGTCCGCAACCAAGTCGCTCGGATGTTGATAGTCAACAGCATTGTGTTCTTCGTGCTTCAAGCTCCGCGCATCATCACAGTCAACCTGCTCTCTTTCCTCACCGCTGTCACTGGACGAGTCCTCCAGCCTGTAGATGTTTCTGTGTTGGTCCCTCTGACTTATTTCCTGTCTCTTCTCAACTCGGCCATGAATCCTATCATCTACAGCGGCACCAATACCAGGTACCGCGAGGCCTTCCTGCAGGCGTTCGGTTGCTGCAGACGGGGAAGAAAGGAGGGACGACCTGCACTCAGTGACCCGTCAGTATCCTACAAAGTGACGGAGAGCAGCAAGTGTGAACAGACCGAACAAAGCTTGGACGTTATCGCAAATGCATCGACTTAAGAAGTTAAAATTTCTTGGAACAGTCCATTTTGAATAGACACATTTACTCCTATCTAAGATGATTGAAAGCCCGTTTCACCCAGTAAATTTGGTAGTCAAAATTATGCAACCCGTGCTAGGCGTACAGTAGTCATAATCTATATCATTTCACTTCACTGATTTTAGTTTCATACATCAGGGTTATACGATTAATGCATGTGTATTGTATGCCAAACTGGGTTTACTCTGTATGGACATTTTATTAGCTCATGCTGTCAATTTCTTAAGCTTAAATATATAAAAGAACACCCCACAAAATAGTAAAGATAATGCTTTCTTTAACACCTAATGAACTCATTGTGTATTTTTGGATTTTCTTAATATTTTCGTATCTGCATGGAAGTATCCTTTTCGTATCGAAATTTTGAGAACGAAATGGAGGAAACGCAGGGCACCATGGGTATCCTATCGCCATTTACATCCTCTCATGCCTTCAAACGCCTGGTACTGGAAATTCTACCCAAAAGGAAAAGGGTTTTGCCGCTCTGGGCAAAGGAAGGTTGGTATGACTGTTTAAAATTCGCACCGTCTTCACAAGTTGTTTAATACCACGTCTGTGCTGGGTCTTACCAGATCAGGATGGTTCCATGAACGTTAAGTTCCTGTGTGGTACTGGCAAATTAAAGCTGACACAGTTTTGCGAGAGGCACCAAAATCTGACGGGAGGGGCTTCGTTTTTCCCGGCCTAAAAATTAGACAACACCCGTATCCCCGATTGGGCACCAGATTTAGAAATAAGCAATGAGTTTTGTGATAATTCTATCTTTTTTCTGTTGTTCAAAGTAACCTGCGCGATAACACCTACAGAAACTGATTAAACGTTTTCAGTTATTTTACGATGGCAGTAAATGTAAATTCGTCTAGAAGGGATCTGTTGCTTCGCGGCAGCCTTGTGTGGAAGTTGTCTTAAGGGTGGATACCGCTCTGGTTTTGCCAACTATCCATACCGGAGGCCATAATTTGCAGAAAGAAATGTCACCTTTAGTTCAAGAAGTTAACTCTTAGTGCACATTCACCCCTCTTCTTTTAAAGAGGGTTGCATTTTTCTGTAGTATTTTAGCGGTACTGTTGATTGGTGTCTTGATATCTGCAGTGAGATCAGTTTCAACTGTTTGGGGAATTATTGTTTTTCCGTTGCGAAGGCCAACCATATTCCTTTATAGGCAAAAACAAAACTGTGACGAAGGGGGCCAGAGAACCGATACATGTAACGGGGTAATGTTTCCATTCTACATGTCCGACCAGGCTGCCTGGAATAGACACGGGGGAGGAAAGATCAGACCAACACGGCCACTGCTTTCAAGGCACTGGTAAACATGCCTTTACATTTCGTAAACATTTTCTTTCAGGAGCTGGGCAGAGATTATTTTCACACCTCCAAATTTTGCCTTATTTCTAGGGCGGTGTTCTCCCTTTGCGTCAGAGTTGTCTGTACCGCTCTTCTTTTATAATTTACTTTTCTCTCCCCCCCCCCATCTAGTTTGAAAGAGATATTCATTGTCATTTCATTGTATAGTTATTAACTTCAGAAAGCATCTATTCTCTCAGCTGCAGTCTATTACAACCACCCAGGCTTATAAATACGGCTTCAAGGTCGACTAATAACACAGCCTTTATTTTGAAAATAAGTAATCGTGCAAGAGGGTGTTTTTTCTTTAGCACACAAATCCATTAGTTGCACTGAATGCTCTTAGTAACGTACAACAAAAAAATTCAATATTGCTCTCCATTAGAGAGACTTTCAACGGCTACATTCTAGGTAAACTGGAAAATGTACCATTGAATTTCATGAATTCGTCAATTCAGGAAAAAGATTTCATTACGTCAATCCCCCAATAATGGAGATTTAGCGGTAGAATGACACTGCTGTTTGTGACGATATGGATGGCTTAATCGATTTCCAGACCTTATGCGCATCTATTCTCATAACAGTGAAACCATCAACAAGCAAACTCAAGACGAAGACGTTTCTGTGACGTCAATCGATTGTGTCGAGCACGCATTAGAACGGGCTCTAATACCAATAAAAGAAATGTAGCATTAATGTTATAGTTCGATTTTTTTCTGGAAAGAAGTGTGCAATCGAACAGGCCTTGCAGTTGAGGACACCTTGCATTTTATCTACAGCCTATATAAGACCTTGCCTGCGAAGACACAAAACCGAACATTCCAAACCCGGAGTCCAAGACATCACATGCTTTACACTGCACGGCACAGATCTGGATTTTGTGTCCTCAGACCGACCATTTTCCTCAAAGAATGGAGGGTTCTAGTTTTGAATGAGACTGATATTTGTGACAGATTTGATGGTTCACTTGATTTCAACGATGAAGCGACGAGGATGCGTTTTTTCCAGCCATTTTACAATGCTTTATTCACAACGATTGGAATACCTCTAGTCTGGGTGATAGGTCTGCCAACAAACTTTGCTTTTCTCTACACAATCTACAAGGTTACCCACATGCGGACCATCACCAACTTCTACCTGGCCAACTTAGCCCTGGATAAACATGCGTTTAGCTTTGGTTTGTTTTTTTCTCCTCCAGGTCTATGATTTAACATATTAAATTCGTACAAATAAATGTTAGTTATAAACAAAAGATCATACAGTGAACACCTTGCAAGTGCCAGAAACGATTGAAGCCACTTTAAATGTCTTTTGAATCCAAACTGTTCTTAATGGATCACTGGTCAATTAAATTTAAAGGACTTTTAACAGAGCATTACAACGAATACGGCCGTTTCACAATAGTGCGCCACCAAGAGTTTGCAACGCGTTGGCCAATCACAATGCGCGTTTGGAAAGGGTCGACAAATTTCGCGCGGTATGATTGGCCAACACATTGCAAACTCTTAGTGGCGCACTATTGTGAATCTCCCGTATTGTACCAAATTTGTTACACAGAGTCGTCCCACGACAATTGAAAAACAATCTGACTGAAATGGATCATGTTCAATGTCAAAAAGGCCAGCGACGAAAGTCGGTTGGTTTTAAACGTGTTCCAGGAAGATATTTGATACAGGTTCATTCAGTCGTTTGCGTTCAACTTGTTTTTTTTTCCATTCAAAATCATCTTAATTCTCTACTTTAGATATTAGTCCCCCAAAGAGGACAAACAGCATACGCAAAATAAAAATCAATGTACACACAGCTACAAACCAGCAGTACAGTCTAATATCCTCAATGTGAATTCACAAAATAAGCCACTTAAAAACTACCATTGCAGTGATGGCGAGTTCTCCAACGAGACAGTAAGTAATCGATTTTGTATGGGCGAAAGTCCCATTCGAAACATGTTTAGGTATTTTGTTTGGTGAAGGATTCTTTCCATCTATGTAATTCGTTTTATCGAAAATGAGAAGCCAGATGACCATGGACTGCAGCTTAACATTGAAAGCCCCTTGCGTAAAAGTTTTTACTATTCACTGCATCCCCATTTTCATCTTTGATTATCAGAACTTCTCAGCAATCTGAAAGTGCTGGGATACGTATATAAATGTAACTTTAATCCACTGCTATTCAAAATACGTTGCATGGACCATTGTAACAGCGAAGAGAGTCCGGTTGTTGTAGCAGGCAGAAGCGTAGTTATCGACTTGATGGTCCCAGACACTTCGACTGACCGTCTGCATTCCTTGACCATTCAGTGAGCCGAGGATGACGTGCACTACGATTTTGTGTCTGTCGTACTTGAGAAGCTTCACTCTCATCTTGATATCCTCGGTTAATGCTTGGGCTAGTTCGGGCGCCGTCTGGGCGTCGTACTGCACCCCGCCCAGCATGGTCTCCATCAGGGAGTGCAGCATCTTCTCCACTCGGGACGCGTTGAAGTGGCAGTCCGGGTGCGGCTCTAGCTGGAAGGTGTTCTCCACCTGGAGGACGGCGTCGCCCCGCGTAGTGGTCGCACTGGAGCTCAGCTTCCGCGTGCTGCCGGCCACGCTGGACGGTGCCATGGAGTACTTGCGGATGACCGAGGCTCCGGGTGCCGTCATCAGGCCGCCAGCGCCGCGGACTGGGTTGCTGACGCCGTTGTTACAGCTGGGGAGCTGACCCTTGTTGCTGCCCGGCACCTGACCGGGGAGAACGACGCGTGGTACCGGTGACGGACTGGCCCTTGGAGTCGACGTCTCAGCAATGTTGGGCATCCTCCGTTGGTTGCTGTCTACCATTCGGAGCTCAATCTTAAAATTCACGAATGATAAATCTCCAGGGTTTCTTTTTTTTTTGGATAAGACTTATAGCCTTAAAACACAAGTGATGTGGTTCGCTACTTAAAAATCCTTTGGTGATCTGACACGAAGTTTCTCATCAAAATTGTAGTTTTCAATTTAAACAATCGATCCTAACATAAAACATGCGTGGCATGCAGAGAATGTCGTGCCGCCGATGCATGAGCCCACATCTTCCCCACTTGTAAATACGGAGAGGAAACTGTGCGTGTATCTCCCGTCGTGACACTACCTTGTATGCATTCGGTCTGTAGTCCACCAGTCGAGATTAAGCGTCCTTTAAACGCCGCCTTTTCAATCAGGAGAAAAGCGAAAGCTTTCAGACCTGCTCTGTCATCTGGAAACTTAAGCCAGGATCACGAAAGCCACCGGTGATGCATGATTTGTAAGCCGCCATCTCCTTAGCTCATGTTGGCCCTTGTGCTTTGTGCTTGCTCGAAAGTGGACAGGTGCCTTTTACACGGTACGACATTCAGGGCTTTCTGTTATAAGTCGCTATTCTGTCCAATATCCAATACTTGCTTCTGATCTTCGAGACACTTGGAATTAAATCCAGTTTTCGAGCTTCTGTCTCAGGGCTGTACTTTCTTGGGTCTCGTACCACTGTCCAAGCTTAGTGTTGTAAGCACTGAGGGTGTTTGACGAAAGACTTACACCGATTTGAGAGGGCTCTGTATAGTGACTCCACTCAACCTGAATTGGAAAAGGCGCCTAAGGGGGAATTTAGGGGCCCTTTTGTAAGGGGCCTAATTCTGCGAGGCGCAAGGACAAAAGGATTCCAGACAGATTGGGTATAAGGGGCACAGTGCCTCACCTAGTTACGACAAACAGCAACGGAACTAGGGGTTTGTTTTCATCGACAGGATGGGACTAAGCCAGAGAATGGGCGACGCGGAAGGGAAGAGAGAAAAAGCCGTCAATAGCATTCTTTGCCCGGAGGAAACGGCAGTTTGGAAGAACCTTCATTTTATGTGGATGGCATGTTAAACAGACAGATGGTATCCTATGTAAATTTAACAGAAACTTGAGGCAACTTTATGTTCAATCAGCCTCCACGATCGCAAAAATCTGTGGGGAGCTCCATTTGTTAATTTTTCATCTCCATTAGCTCGTGGACGGATCCCGAACATTTTTTCAGGGGGATTGAGAAGCCTAAAGATTTGGGAATTTCTTCGGATGATGCGACATTGTATGATATTTCTTTCTTAAGGTACAGCTAAATCTGGGGGATTTTTACACGCACCAAAAGGAAAATAAACGTCCAAAACAGCCCTTCTCCAATGTGTCAAAACAAGAAAGAAACACAACAAACAAAATCACAGGAGACATGGCCCCTGTTGCTTCCATCAGACCTTAAATCACCACTGCAGGAGGCCGCATAACAACGGAGTACTGAATGCTACCGTGACGGTTGACAAAACTGTAGTCCAATCACTGTACAGTAAGCAAAAGGAATGGCGACCACCACTTGCACTTTTCTGGGGAAAAAAATGGCAGGTCAATTCACAATCAATAAATGATGTCTGATGGACGGAGAAACAACGTAACCCAACACCATCGATTATTCCGACGACTGCGCTGTCAGTTTTATTATTTGCAATTCTAATTACCTGCTTATATTCCAAATTCAACAGTATTAAATCACAAGTAATTCTTCTAACGTCTTCTTAGAGCAAGTCACACAGTCACAGACACACTGGAAAGACATGATTTTAACAAAGTACCATTACATTTTTAGTGAGACTTAAGAAACGCTGTCATCAACACCAAAATGCTGGAAGTCTAGCAATTTTCCTAACAGTGAGGTTAAATACCCCTATAGTTCACAAAAGGGTATTCCCGAGAAATTCGCAATTAACCCCCAAAACCACTAAAAACCAAAAATGAAACACCGTTTTTAAGCTTGTTCTTCGTTTGGGTCGCTCTCGGGGTCGCACCTCCTGTCTGCTGAAGCCAGTAACACACAAACAATGAGAAATTTCGCGCGACGTACGTAAGCTTAGGGTATAAAGTGACCCACCAGATTTTACAGTACTTTTTCAGTTGACAAGATGTATCTCTAAAGGCTTCTTTTGAGCTCCTTGAAGGCTAAAGTTATTGTAGCTCTGGAATTAACCATGTTTATCCAACCCCAGCGTTATTCTTTTTCTGTAACCCTGTCAAACGATCGATTTTTCAGTAAATTCCATTCTGTTTCGCTTTTACCGGCAACTAAAGACTGGTATCGATAAAACGATACTGGTATCGATAAATCGATGTGAGGGACTGGGCTTTATTACGCCAATCGTGGGTAAGTGGACAGGCGGTGTAATTTTTGCACTCAGATTAATCGAATTGCGTTCTCGTCGTCACTTTAACGGTGGAAATCGAAACACTCAGTTTAGCGTTGTCAAGTGGAACGCTGATGGCCGATAGGTTCTGCATAAGGGAGACGTGGGCTTATTTTCTGTTGACAAAAACCAAAGGGAAAAATGTCAAAAGAGAAGTATTAGAAAGAAAACGTAAAAAAATTGTATCCGTTTTATGTGAATTTAGTGTACAATAACATTAGAAACGGCTGTAGATCTATATGACTTTGACACACTATGGTGTGCATAACTAGGAGTTCATAAGTCACTTTGATTGATTAATCGGTCGTTTTCATACCAAACAAGACGATGAGCGTCAGCCTTACGTCATATCGATGACGACACCAATTATTTCTCACCTGCACTATCTGCATTCTGTCCCCGATCTCCCTGGCCGTTCTCTCCTTGCAGGCCTTCTTAGGGAACGGTCTCATCTCCCTAAACTCCAAGCACTCCTGAAGGTGCTGGCGCAATCTCCTCTGTTCGTACACCACCAGCTCCGGGTTCCCCTGGAAAGCCACCTCGGTAGCGTAGGCCAGGGCGAACACGCCGCAGTCGCTGGAGCCGCGCTGCCGGTGCATTCTCGGTAGGCGGACCTCCAGTGTGGACGATCCGCCGGCCGCTTCGCCGTCACCGTCACCATCAACGCCGCACAGATTGATGACCTGGTGGGTGAGCTGCCGCGTTAGGCCCATGTTCTTGCTGTCCATGACCTTGACCTTCTTGCCGAGCTTCCGGAGCGTCACCCAGTGGTTGCTGCCGTTCTGGATCACCTGAATGCCGTCTGAGACGATGGGTTTAAACTGCAGCACGTTGCCCAGCACGGGTTCCTGAAGGCCTTCCAGCCCGGGGAACTGGCGGTGAAGAAGTTGCTGTGCCGCTACGATGTGGCTGTCCGTCAACCAGTCACCATCAGTCAGAATGGTTCGATCTCTACATCTTAGCCCGAGTTCTGGAACCCAGAAATCACTCTCTGCCTTAGATTGTGTTGTGGTGGCATCGGGAATGTTCGAGTCCAGTGAGGGCCTAGCCTTCTTTGGGGAAACCGAGTGGCTATCTTCGCTAGAAGTAGCTTTCCGTTTCAAGCCAGCGCTCTGGAATTGGTTCCAGGGACTTACCTGCAGGGATGACCAATAATCAATGGTTTAAAAGGATCCGTGCTAATACACTCACTTTTTGTGCATCGTTTGCTCTTTTTCAGTGTGTGAAACTATTTGAAATCCTTTGAAGTAAATATTTTCTTAGCCTTTTCAACAGTAAAACTAGCCAAGCTGAGTGAGGGCACTGTTGCTTTGATTTGAATCGGGCCAGTTTGGAGCTTTTTCTTAATCAAAAATCCAAAGGTAGTACACCCAATTTTTTTAAATATTGTGTGCTTAATTAATGGCGACCCGTGGAATGTTTGCAGGCTTTCAGGTTTTTCGTTTGTTGTCAATAATTGTTTTTTTTTTATTCCTTTTCTCCTTCCTAATTGCCAGTTGGGGCAAGCGATTTTTAATTTCGACAGGTGGTGTGCAAAGCCTAAGGGTAGTCAAAAAAGGTATTTATTACAACAAAATTGGATTTTTTTTCCGAGTTTCAGATTCATGTTTTTTTTCCATCTGTGACCGACCTTTATTGATGATATCATGATATGGAGGCATGACGCAACATTCCATCCTTCGACATTCTCTAATGTTTCCTGGTCATCCCCGTGAGCGTAAAATTATCCTGTGTTCAGACCACCCCTTTTTTAAAATTAAAAACCAATGAAAAACGGCGTGGTTTTTCCCCTTTTTACCCGTTCTCTGTTCAGAGAGAGCCCCCGGATTATGAGTTTGATTCGTTTGCTCTGTTCGTCGAAGCAGACGTCGACCGACTGCCGTGCTGGAGTTGACGGCTCTACTGTATCTCTCTCGTCTCGCTGGTTAGAAAAAAAATAGGGGCAGTTAAGCATGTTGAATTTCCGATACCATGCCAAGAGGAGAAGGCATCATATATAATTAACAAGGGACGAGTAAAGCAATGCAACTCCTACATTTATATACAGTTACTTATTAAAAAAAGGAAACAGATTCCTGCGGGTACATTTTGTGTCGATAACCCCACAAAAGACTGGCAATCCATTCTTTGAAGGGTAACTCTGCTTGTTCTTAGGGAAAGTCTTGTCGACATAGAATGATGAGAATGCGGACGTTTGTGCAGAAAAGGCTAAATTGTGACTTGATGCACATGTTCCGTTCAGATTAAGATTAATATCTTTTGGTAAGTATTTTGAACAAAAAATGAGTCATTAACGCGACTTCACTTTCCCCAAATGTATTTCCAATTACGTGATCTTTACAGTGCCATGTAGTGAAAAAAATATTAGGCTTTACTCCATTTTCCAGTCTCCCAGACAATTCCCCAAACACCATGACTTTAATATTTTCATCTTGCCGATTTTTATTATAAATGTTGCCACGAAATGTCTTTTTCCTGAAACATAAAAGTCTTACCGTTGCAACGCACGTCTCTGACAAGCCTACAGGAGCCATAGTTAGAAACTGGTTGACTTCTTCAAAGTCACAACAGTGACAGAGAAGCAGACACGTTTTGTATGCCAAAATGGCGGCCCGGGTTTCCTTTAAATTTCCCTCCAAATCTACGCTGTAGTGAGAGATCTTTACCTCTAAACAATGGGCTTTGTCGGAGTCGCCAAATATTGCGCAACTCGGCTTTTCAATTCAACATTCCTTTCCGAGGTGGGGAGAAACCATTCAAGTATAGAGTTAAGTTGTTCTTTGCCAATGGACGTGGCGACTGTTTGCGGTCAGTTCTAGCAGACGTCGCTGATTTCATCAAATCGCTTCCCTCTTCAATCCTGTTCTCAAATACCTAAAGAGATACGATATTAGGCTCTTCTCTTTCGAGACACCACGAAAATGTTTTGCAATCAAACTGGGAACGCATGATGAAAGAGACCTCTTGAATCAAAAAATGTCAGACGCATGAGAGACATGGTTGCAATTTTCAAGCCAAATCGAGAACCTCTGTCCTTTTGATGGCCGTCCGGTAGAAACAAGGTTTTTCCTTGATCACACGCAAAGAAAAAGCCACATTTTGCAGGTGAAATCATGTCTTTTTAAACTTCCAAAGCTCCGACACTCAAAACAATAACTCTTTCCGGCCTCCGAACAAGAACAACGAAAGGACTGCTCAGGTCTTGTTAATTCTTAACATGCTGTGATTTTAATATCTCTGTTGTACAAACCAAACTAGGTAAACCAATGAATATAATTATACACGGAGTGCAACTATTACAAATACGGACGGATCATGAGAAGTTAACAGACATGTACATGTACATAAATTCAACGGTTATAACACTTCAAAGAGCCAACTTTTGGAAGATTACAAAATGACTGGACGGCTCGGCGCACTTACACAATTTTGAGACAATGAATCTGGAATGTACAGTTGAAATGTTTGCTTTAAAAACTGGACGGAATTCGCATTTGTAAAATGGCATTGACGGTAAAGGCACATTTGAGTGGTATGTTATCTAAGCACAAAATAACAGCAAATGAAGTTTACGTGGAACAATATGGTATGGATCTAGTATTAGCAATCATCTCGTGGGGAAAATCCTCCTAAAATTTAACTTTCTGTGACTTAACAATTACTCTTGAAAATGTTCATTAATCATAGCAATTTAATAATACCAACAACCCATATATTTTGATGTCCTATGGACGGAATACCTTCACATGCACTCATCACTCCATACAAAACTCAAGCATGATAATTTATGAATACGCAAACCACTACGGCATAGCATTCAGAGAAAGAAATCATATATTAGGGTCACAAGAGGTTAGAGGATATCTAAACTACAATGGAAATATGTTCTGAGGATTAGATATTTACATATTGATAAACTATAGTAACAGAATACATGTACATTAGAAGTTTGGAATTTCATTCCAGGGATGTAGGGGAGGTACTACAGAATAAAGGGGAGGGGTTACAGCATCAGGGGGAGGAGCTACATAGAGAAAAGGGTTTGGCCAAAGGGAAATAGACCCTTTCACTAACAACAGCCAAAATATCTAATGGGATATTTTGAAGAAACAACGGAACAAAGCCAGAAACCTGAGAGAAAATGATCGAAATTGTACCCCTGCACAGTTTCAATGGCCCTTCCTGCCAAGGCCATTTGTGTATATGCGTGCATAATTATAAAATTTATTAATGAGAAGGTCTATATGGGATTGCAAGGTAAAGCTGTGGTTATATTAGCAAAATGAAAAGTTGGTCGCTCGTGTGGGAGGTACTAAGGCACAAATAGGTTGGGTGTAGGGCATGACGGGGGAGTGGCTTGGACAAGGGGGCGGAGCTAAGGGACGGGGGCGGACCCAACACACGTTGGCTGCATAATTGACTCAGGACATAACGCTGGTTGCATCATTGTCCACCAGGATGGTGGTGGTGGTGGTTGCCGCGGCGAAGACTGGACGCAAATCCTGAGTGGAAAAAAAGAAAAGCCAACAGAAAACAGATTAGAAGGCTGGCTGGCTGGCAGGAAAAAAAAACTTGACCCTCTACCGTAAGGCATTGTTAGATTTATCACATTTCCTGCTACGATACTGGCAGGTGTGGAATTACCATGCCAGTGGAACAAGTGTTGCAAATAGGTTTTGGCAACTTATTTTCGGAAGAGCTCTGGAGCTACAGTGATACAAGTTTTCAAAGTAGAAACAAAAAATGTGATGACCTTTCAAGTTCGGTTTCAAGCAAAAACAAAAGCTCTCATCTGGTTCTCCCCCACACTTGCATTACAAATGTCCTCTATTTATGAGTCAGCCTTTCATGAACTCTGCAGTTGAACTTTTCGACAACAACCTAAAATTCTGATTCTTTCAATCACTTATGAAGTTATGCTCCCAAGACGACTTCTGAGTAATCTGGCACCAAAACGAATGGCACTTGTTCGCTGAATTAACCTTTGCAGTGACTGGCTATTGTTTCGTCAGTTGTGGCCGTGCAATTCTATTGTAATGGGTCGACCGACTTACAGGTGTCTTGTAGCGATGGCACATGGCCAGGCAATCCTGTATGATGGGGTGATCCACCAGCGTGAAGAACGGCACCGGGCCCAGCTTGTTGTCGCCCAGCTCACGGTACACGCTGGCCAGCCGCTCCTGGGAGAAGGTGTCCTCAGGATCGGAGGTCACACTGAAGCGGTGGCTGTCACCCAGGGTGGGGCGGCCGTGGTGTAACACCTATGAGGGGATAGGGGGTTGTTGAAGGATGAGGCAGGTTGTGGTTGGGTCTGAATGGTAACTTGGCCTGAAGTCTGAATAGCCTCTGTTCATGCATATGACATGATAAACGGCAGTGTCTAGATTTTACGACTATGGCTACAGGTGATGGGAGCCAGTGGCTAGCAGCTGTAGCCACTTCCCTTCGATGCACGCCTTACACTTGCAGTCACAGTCAGCTGATTCGAATAAAGGCTGCCCTTGAGCGTGTTTCAACATGAGTACGCAAGCGCATGAGCGGTAGGAGTACAACTCTGGGTACTGTACTAACCTGTACTAAGGCCTTGAGTTCCACGGTAGCTTGCAAGGCACTAGGTGGTATGCCTTCCTCGGGTGGGCCTAGGCTAGGCTCCACTCTCTTGTCCTGGAGTCTGATCTCACTGCCTGTAATCACTTCCACCACCTGGATAGAGAACTTATGAATGCTGACGGAACTGCCACTCAGATATCTCTTACAATTATGACAGTCAAATGTCGTTAGATCCCATGCCCTGGAAATATCCCCCAGGTGGCGTATGGCCGTGTTTGAAATACTGACCCAATAAACAAAATGTATCATAAGTTACCAAAGCCACCTGTAAGTCAGGGCCTTCAAAAGAATCTTGCAAAAGCAGGTGCACCCCCTCATCGGTTTTGAAGAGCCACGTTCATGAGGTGCATTCATGTTGCTGGTCCGCAAACACAACGCATGCATTTTATAGTCGGAAGTGAACTAACAAAATGCAGTTCTGACCAAAGGAACCTATGCTGCTAGCAAAACTCCGCCCTCTTTTTGGTTCCGCTGGGAGCAGATAACATGCTTGACTTTGACACCAGAGTCTAGCCAATTTGATACATACCTCCTTCATGACGTTCAGCTGATCCAGCTGCTTCTCCCGAGACTCGATGTCCTCCAGCTGGGGTCGGGGCATGTGCTTTGCGGAGGCGATGCTGAGGGCTCGGAACAAGCCGTTCATGGCGTCCTGGTCGACGCTGAAATACAGGAGCTGGAGAGGGAGGGACAGTTTGGGTTAGTGGAGACTTGACATCGCTTTCTGCCTTACTCAAGACCTGGTTTCAAGGGGGCTCACGACAAGAGTTTAAAACTGATCTGAGACCACCCTGCCCATCGGCAATCCCGATCCAATTTGCTAGACTACGGAAGCTACAAGACCACAGAAGTTTCCTTCGATTAGAAAAGATACAATACTAAACCTTTCAGGATGAAAATTTCACAACGTGTAGGTGCGACCAAAGATTTCTTCCATCTCTCTGACTTTACGTGTAGGGGAAATATTTGGAGGCGACCTTACCATGTTTGTGTAGTCTACTACTGGAGGCTGCGAGGCCTGATCGGCAAAGATGTCGAAGAGAAACTTCTGGACGTGGGTGACACGGTCGAACGGCAGGGGCTTGCTGGGGTCATTGGGCTCTGGGGGTGAGGGGTCAGCCGTGTACCACAGTCGGACCTGTGGGTGGGAGGGGATGAGAGGAAGAGAGGACAGGAAGGTTGTGTAGCGTTTTGAGTTGTCTTACACTGTCAGGTCTTGAGTTGGGGGAAACATTGGTGGGTACATTTCAGCAAGAAACTACAGGTAACCTCGTGATGGATCCATGACTGGCAAACTATGAAGCTTTGCCGGCTAACTGGGAGGGTGGGAGGAGGGAGTAAATTGGGCTGTTTAATACCAAGAGAGAAGGAAAACCTCACTGTGGCTCAGTGACGTTGGCCCCAAGCCGGATAATGTACGGAATGTGTAAATACCTGTTCAAACTGTTCGCGGGTGACAATGCCCACGTTCAAGGTGTCGACAGCCTTGAAGCCTTGCAAGGTCTCCAGGAGCTGGGCCTGGGAGGGCTGAGGCCAGGGCTGGGCCACCTGCAGCATGAAGGTGCGCCAGTCCACGTACTCGCAGTCCGGGGACAAGATAGTGGACAGCTGCTCTAACTGAGGACAAACAGCAGGTCGGGTGCATAACATGCAGGTAATTTGCATTGTTATCAAAAAAAGTCCAGGTAAACCGTAGATACATTTCCCAGGAAAAGATATCTTCGCGGCGCCGGCCAAAGACAAAGGCGCACAGGCAGACTCTACCTTGCCAACCTTACTAACTTTCCATCTGGTTAAAATATCAGTGAGGTGTGTTTCAGAGTAGGATTATTAGACCAATTCAACGTTTAAACGTGCAAGTTTGTGATCAAAGGGCATGTAAAAATACAGGTAGACCTCTGACCTACCTGATGCAAGTTGAGACCCATCCAATTATCAGGCAGTGCTTCAGTGCCATGCTGCGACAAAAAATACAAACAAAAATCACCTGCAGGGTATACAGAAAGAAGCACTGATGATAGCAAGTCGTATGCTATAATCTTTGCCAAGGCTCAAATGATGCAAGTTTCAATAAAAACTTGAGAATCTTGGAGATTTTCCGAAGGGATATGGTGTGTCCCTATTTGAGATGAGCGCTGTTCATCAGGAAAAATGAAGTGACCTCAGGCTTTACCGTGAGAGCGGTCATATCTGACAGGGTGTCCACGAAGGCCTTGTTGGAGATGAAGCCGGAGGGCGCCGAGCTCATGAACTGGTGGTGCAGCAGTCTCATCTGGTCCACGGTGAAGGCGTCTGGCTGGGCGATCTCAGTGGGGGAGGGCCTTGGAGGGGGGCTGGGGGTGCGGAACACAGCCACCTCCTGTTGGGGGAAGAACGATTAAAGAGTTGAAAAAGTAGAATGCTACCGTCATGAACACAGTCAAAATACAGTTGGAAGGAGCAACTATTCTCTTGGGCCCCCTGTTTGTGACAGGAATTCTGGGGTATGAGGCTGAGGTAGCCATGATCTTGGTTATGAGGCATCACACCAGTGAATTTACGACAGTGACTCTCTACAACTTCCAAAGCTGTTTAAGAATACAAAAATTGTACTTCGCTTCAGTCTGAAAGAAGACAAGACGGCATGGCATTTCAAAAACCGGAATTAAAAACCTCGGCCTGATTTTGAGGTGGCTGGTTGCCAAGTCATCAGAACACAAGCCACTGATCACTGCACTTTGCTGAGTAGCTGCCGCGGCAAATAGCCATCTGACAGCTACTACAAGGTTTCTTTCGTCATGGCTTTTTTTCACTTTCCAAAAACTGGTCGTAAAAACCAGGCTTACGTTAGGGATGCGCACAACGGCTTGGATTCTGCTCACCTTGTTGACGATGAAGTCATCCTGAAGGGAGACCAGCTCCGGTTGGATCTTCTCTTTCTTTTCAATCTTCTCGCCGAGCACTTCAGCCAGGGTGTCGATGCTGTATGAACAGAGAGAGCAACGTTTTGAACGATAAGTGACTCAATGCAATCTAGACAAGACAGCCAATCAAGGTTCAAATGAATGACTCGCTGAGTTCCCCCGTTTCTCGTAGTATTCCTCTCTGTCACATCTGACTGGCAGCTGTGATCAAGCCAATTGCCACCACATGTCCAGGACACTCACTACAATCAAGAAGCAGACAACCTACCTCCAAAAGAACAGACACCTCGTTTCAACTTTTTTCAGTTTATAAAAGCAAGTCATGCACAAAGACATGGCTGATGAGTAAGTGGTGCTGCTCCCAAGCTAAAACAGCATATACCATTGTCTTCATGCGAAATAAAAATCACATCAAGGGACCATGCCGTCCATTATCTACGACCTTCCCTCTCTAAAATAGGGTCCTAGAGGACACTCCAGCAAACCTTGTGTTCTAACCCATCACTCATCAAGGCGTCTCTGGTCATAGACAAGCTCCCAGCTAATTATTCATGTCTTGATCTCTTCCAAAAAGATTGTAACGGGTGCGCAAGGAACCTCAGGGCTCCACCCATCACTCACCTGGCCATCTCTTGTTGGAAGCGAGCACCCAGCCAGTCATCCATGTCCTTGTAGACCTCCTCCGCCTTGGCCTTCAGCTCCTGGAGGACAGCGATGGCGTGGATCTTGGTCAGCTCCATGCGCATCTTCAACCCAGCCTCTGCAAGGAATAATAATAGAAAAGGTGACAGGTGCAACCGTCCCCAGAGTGTCTCTACATATTGTCACTGGACTTAGTCCTCACTGACAGGCTAGGAAAGGGGCATCTGTGACAAGGTCCACTCTGCATTAAAGCAAGGCTCTTTAAGATTGAGATTGATCTTCTCGGTCTCAAAAAAGCGGCTGGAGAAACTGAAATTGTTGGCACTTTCACAGGTTTGGTGCGGTGCACTTATTTATCATTTCAAGTTCAAGTTTTCTAAAGTACAGCAGAGAATAAATACCTCTGTTGTAAAAATATGTTGTAAAACAAAAATCTGGGGGCGGGGAAGAGTTATTGAGACTGAAGGGGGGCAATGATGAATGGAAATGATGTCCATCTTGTACTGACCTTCATGGGAGATAGCGCCGAGGTATTCCTGCTTCATGCGATCCCTCAGCTCCTTCTTAGCCTTCTCTTCGGGAGTGTCTTCCGTTGCTAAGTAGTTCCCCAAAAGGGAGAGAAAAATTTCGATATCAGAAATCGAGAACAGATGGTCAACAGACCATCTTCGTAGAATGTTGAACATGGATCAATGTGAGCTTATGCTTCAAAATTAAAAAAATTCATATAAATGTTTAAATTGCATCCTAACCCCCCCCGGGTGTATGTGCTGGTTCTGAAGCAAGCGTCTGGTGTGTATGCAAAGAAAGTACATTCTAACAGAAATTGGCCACACAAGCTCAGCGTGATCCACGTCAAGCGGGCATGCACCATTGCGCACTCTTTTCGCATGAAAGAGACGTCGCTGCTGCATCAAGAGATACTGTCTCTTGTTCCTATGGTGACCAGACGATCACGAGCTCATTTTGGGATATGATGATATAGTCTGTATGCTACTAAAGGTTGAATGACATTTGCCAAGTTTTGTTTTGCAGGGTTTTCTGCCCTTGAAGCTTCAGTGTCTACAAGGCGGTAATTCTCACCAGGAGGCGGCGTGGGTGGAGGGGTAGGAGTGGCTGTCTTCTTGCCCTTCTTGGGTGACTTCTTGCCCACGGGTGACTTCTTACCGCTGGGCGACTTCTTGCCGCCGGCTGGGGACCGTTTGCCTGAGGGTGACTTGCTCTTGCTGCGTTTCTTGCCGGGCTTCTTGGCCGCCCCTTTCTCTTTCTCCTTGTCCTTCTCAGCCTCACGGAGCTTCTCGGCCTCGTCTTCAGCGTCGCGGGCCGCCAGCTCGGCTGCAGTCTGATTGGTGAGAGGTTTCAGAACAATTTGCATCAAACCTTGGCTTGACTTTGTCTTCACCTCAAGAACCGTTACTAACAAGGGCTAAAGAGGCTTGACCTTTGCAATGAAAATTCTCCAAAGTTTGGTCCTGTAGTAGCTGGTCTCTCGAGGGTCATGGCCTATAACATCCGAAGTTCAAAGCCTTGAATGCTGAGCCCTGGTTTGGAAAACCCCGTAAAACATTACACTTGAAGATTTGTGCTCAAAACACAAGTTAAGTCACAGCAAAACTGAACAACCAGGAGCTGTTGGTGAGCATGTGCACCAACAAATCCCCCAGCAGAATGTTCCAAGGGATCCCTGCTGAATCCAGAAGCGTTCTACCCTCATACAGTCCAAAGCTTTCCAATTTAAACACAATCCAAGACTGACATGTTAAGTCAGCTGACAAAATCTGACAATATCCATTATACAAGACACAAAGCTTCAATTCAATTCAGTGCATCTTAGATAAACACAACTTTTCCCTTGATTCGTGTTGGATTAAGTGGGTCTAAAATGAATAACAAAAGCAAGTCGAGAGAACCAAAATATGATATATCTGCAAAAACAGTTTGGTTAAAAGGTTAGAAATGATGCATGTTCACCCATAGTTAGGTTTGTGCAACTTGAAACTGTAAAGAAAAAGCTCAAACATGGGGTGCATGGAACCAGTGAAGAAAGTGGTGCTCGGCTACCTACTTACCATACATGCTTTGGAATACCCTTCCGACTGACTCAGCAAAAATGGGGGAAAATTCGATTTAGTTATTGTCGAGAGTTAGAAACTTTCTACATCGTACAGTTAATACGTGAAACTGAACCTCAAAGTTTTCAGATTTACAGTGCATTAAGCACCACAACTTGGCAGTATATTTACTTCTGATTAAAATCCGATTAAATTGACTAAATCTTCTGCTAAATGAAATGAGTTAGGAAAACAAAGATTACTTACAATCTCTGTGATTTTCATCATTCCAAACTGGAAGGCGTCAAAGATTAACTGCAAGTAAGAAGATATTACATGTACTAGTAAGTATAAACCTAGCCATCAAAGGTATAAATGCATCAAACAAGACAAAACCATGGGCTTGCAACTAGGCATTCAGAAAAAAAAAAGGATATTACAATTTCCAGAAGTCTGTGAAGTGTTTTCTATTTGTAAAACCACCAATGACAGGAACAAAATGACGATATCAAATAATATAAAAAGTTGAATTCCTGGAAGGAAAATTCATCCCCGAAATAGGAAGAAAACCCACTGGAGCACTTGAACTTTATTGAATCAATCACTTTAAACCAACAAGAATGAATCTGTCATTCATTTCAAGTCATCTCGACTTAATTATGTTTCTACATTTCACTATCACGAAGTAACAGTAATCAAAACTTTATTTTACTGGTTTCCAACAAGTACGTGGCTGATTCTAGAGGCCAAATAGGTGTCGTGGGCAAGAGCCTTCGGTAGCTAGCAGCATTTTGTCACTATTGTTTGTGCAGAAGAAAGAAATGGAGCCTCCACGACTAGATTTTCAAGACAAATAGGTCGCACTGCAACTTTGGAAGGGGGGTTTCCTGATCACTCTAGCCTAGACCCACCTTCTCGTCAGGGTCTGTGGGTGGCTGGGGGCTCTCCTGGGCCTCCTCCTGGCTGGCCACGGGGGCTGGCTTCTCCTTTTCCTTCTTGCCCGCTCGACTCTTGCTTCCCTTCTCTGCTTTACCGGCCGGTGTCTGGCTAGGGAAGAAGCCTTCGGTGGAGGTTGGACGACGGGGGACTAGAGGAATCCTGTGAACAGGGCAGATGAGGAAGAACACTTTTGTTATGAGGGAAAGGAAACCACCTTTGGACTGAAAGGCAGAGGGCCCATTTGCAGCTATCTGCACACAGCTATTCAACATTAGTGAATGGGCTAAACCAAAGCACCGAGCAAATGACAACTCACTTTGGTTTCTCCTCCTCCAGCTCTTCCTTGGCCTCCTCCGGGGGCGGCTCCTTCCCCTTTTTGCCCTTGGCGGAGGGGGTGGTGGGTGTGACAGCCCGGGTGACTGACTCGCTGGCCGGGGCGCTGACGGGGGCAGAGCTGGGCCTCTCGGCCACCGTGGAGAGGTCGATGAGGGGGATGCGCACAAAGCCCGCATCAAACTCCTCGGGGATCTTGCCCTCCATGCCTTGGTAGTAGTCCTTGAGGAGGCGGAGGGTGTCTTGGTAACGGTCAACCTCCCCCTGCGGAGAAAGATTTCAACAATATAGAAGACGTGAAGAATACAATACTAGACGCATTACTGACTTTTATACAGCATCTCAACCTCGAGATTCTGTTGTGGTAAGAGCAGCTCAATGTCGTTTCAATTTTGCACCCTTGTCTTCGGCATTTCTTCACACATGGTGTACAAGATTTTGTCCACAGTCTCTTGAAAATTGAAGTTTAAAATGCCAACAGATTTCAGGATGGAGCGATGTAATACTAAATGCATGTGCACATCAGAATTCTAGATAAAATGAAATCTGCTTCAAGTTCTGGATGAAGCACCTTTGTCTCACCCTGCAACGTTATGATGTGGCCTACAAATTCCTATGTTTTCTGTTGAATGCTCCATTCGGGGGCTCTCAAGTCTCTTTTCAATGACTGCGTTCAAATCAATTGGTTTCAGCTGGCAGTGTCGCAAGCCCCTGGCCAGCATGGCTTTCATGACACTAGTGGCTATTTCTGGCCACGGCAGAGAAAATTTGGACGCGGTCCACCCCCCCTCTCACCTGCATGAGGGTCAGGTAGTGGTTGGTCAGGAGCCCCAGCCGGTCTTCCAGCCATCCCTCCTCCATGACTGAGGTGCGCTCCTTCTCCGCATCCTCCTTGCGGTTGTCCGACATCTCCCACAGCTGCTCCTTCAGATCCTACAGGTTCAGGGGGAAAAAGTGGCATACAGAAGTGATGATCCAGCTTGGCCTTTGACCTTTGAAGCAACTTGGACTGCAGTCTTCCTGTTTTCTAGTTCCTGCTCGTAGGACAATGAAGCGCACTTTACTGGACTAGTGATGAAACTTAGATTTTTTTCCGAAGACCGCCACCAGATCATTCTTAGGCCAGTTTCACTATCCGATTCATAAGTGTGACGTCACTTCAGTTTAAACCACGCCCACTGCACACGTGCACTGTTCATAGGGTTACACGCTTTGATCGCCGTTTACATGGAACCATGGAACCAGAAAGTAATGCACAACTTCAGCGATTGTCCAATGAGAGCCTGCAAATTGTAGCGCGTCCGCCATTGTGACGAAGTCACTTACGAACCGGATAAACCACTGGAGGCAGTCAATGTTCAGATAACATTCACATTGTTGTTTTAGTAAGCATTTTTTCTTCTTCAATCAGAGCAGACGGGGGTCTATACTGGGTGACCTACCTGGACCCTCTGATGAAGCTCTGACTTGGTTTCGTCGTCATCTCTCATGTCCTCTGCGATCTCGTTGTACTCCTGCTGCCAGGCGGCCAAGAACTCCTGCTTGCTGTCAGGCCGGCGCAGGTACTCCTCGAAGTCCCGCCGCACCTTGTAGAAGTAGTGGTAGATGTTCTCCCGCTCGTCGCGGATGTTGTGGAACACGTGCTTGGAGCTGGCCACGTAGGTGGCCTCGGTGTTCTCCCAGTGGGGGGCAAGCACCAGGGCAAGTGCCTGTTGGGGAGAATGGAAGAGAAGCTGCAGCACTGCTGTGAAAACCTGACTAACGAGGAGGCATTCTTGAAATATGCTTTTCGCATTGGATTTTATTCCTCTTGAACACTGCTCATTCACTTCCGAGAATTTCAGAAGAAAACAGACTCTCACTCCTACTTCTGGTCTGGTAAACAATGTTTTGTATTCCCAAATTGTGAAGTTGCTCGTTAGGTATCAAATTATGATATATGTATCTCTGTTTAATAAACTGTCTGATTTTTGCAACGTACATCTGTTCAGTGCTAGGAATCAAGCTCTGATATGTGTTGTGATAAGCCACTGTGCTTTTAAATACAATCTTGCCTCAATAACGGTTTAAACTGCTCATATTATTTTACCTTACGTAAGGGTTCAGGAAAATGTGCCCAGTCTTCTGAACCCTGTATGGGTGGGAGAAGCCCAGTGGATACGGTGAGCTCAGGTCCTTGTGTATTGAGCTTACTGCTTTGTGTG